ACTAGGTCCTCCGACCCTCCAAGCACCCTCAACCCGAACAGCCAAACCGACCAGCCAGACAAAGGTGGCACGTCAATGATTTAAGGGCTGTGGGTTTAACATATCGGGGCCTCAATAATCACCAATACTACCTGGGGGGCTCCTTATTGGAATTGTAGTAGAATATACCTTCGAACCCGGCTTCGACTATAAAGTCCCCTATATTAGAGGCAAACATTCGGATTCACAACCCCATTCAAGGTGCCAAGCCAATGATTTCTTGGTAGGTTATGTATACTCGAGGTAGACCCGACACACCTCCCCGACGCTCAAACCCTAGTCTGCCAGAACCCTAAACCCTAATCACAACACACTTATGGGAGACCTTATTGTGGGGTCCTTATAATAAGGATCCTACTATTTAAGGTACTATATTTGGGTCCCCCATTTTCGGAAACTCCCATATGCCCTCAGGAGGACAAGTTATCTGACGTGGCATCGCGAGCAGAGCGCTTCGCCTCCATGTCGAGGGCGGCGAACGAGGCCAGTGCATATGTCATGGCATTACGGTGATGAGGCATTTCAGGGATACATCGACACCGTTGAAGTTAAAGGCCTATACCTGCATGCAAAAGCACAATGCGCGTCCCCTAGGTGTTTAAACGACTTGCTACCTCGGGGGCAACCGTACGGGATATAAGGATAATAATTTCTGAGGACATCCGGGAATCAATCGTAAGCTCTACAAGGCTTATATGCTCAAATCCGGGTAACACCTGCAAGCAAAACCTTGCAAAAGATGCTTGACATGTTGTAGTTTCATCCTCTGGAAACAAGAGTTGGGGACCCCAAAAGCACATCAGCATATGCATCTTTCTATTTTGCTTATTGGGGCCCTAAGAAGGCTCCTCCCCTAGCCCGGCAACCCCCAGAATCCTAAGCTCTGAAGCTTCGATATGACCGGCATGCTGAATTCACAGTAAACCCTGAACATTTTGCCTTGCAGTGGCTAAGGTCAACAGACGCATCCCAAAAACCATGCAAAGAGTTCAAGAAAGCAACTTCACAGGTTCAGGAAATCCTGAACAAGTATATGTACGTATATGTTAGAAGCTGCCCCCACCCTGTAATAGTGACTATAAGGATTATATTAGGGCCCTATTATATTCCGGTTTGAGGCCGAAAACAGGGTGGAGGCCCCTTCTAACGTATATGTTGCTCAGAAAGCAAAGAATGCAGCCTCAACTCCAACCCCGAAAGTCAATGTGCCGACGAAAGCCGAAACCAAGGAAGAATGGGGGGGTTTAAGGTTCAGTCTTTGGGATTAAGGGTTGGTTTGATGTAGGAAACCTGATTAAGAAACCCTGGGCCTACAACCCCAAACTGGTAGGATTCATAGACAGAACTAATAAAGGCCCAAGGTTATTTAATCAGGTTCCCTAGGGTTTAAGGGCTTCCCTTCCCTTCCCTATACTATTTTCGGGGTTCCTTGGTATAATGATTGCATAGTGGGCCCCAAAACCCTATTCCAATCAATAAGGCCCCTACAGAATAGTGCAATTTTAAGGGATCTTTAAGGGTTCCTTTACGGGATCTTATAGGGTTCCTTTAAGAGAAAGGGTTTCCCTTCCCAGGTCAACGATTTGGGCGCGTCGACCAACGGCAGTTTATTCGTCGTGGCGACCGCCTCCCTGCACACTTCGGAAGCCACGTCATCCGCTCCACTGCTCGTTGGCTTGAAGGGATTTAGGGTTTAGGGGTTAGGGGTTGCGGTTGAGGTGTTTAGGGGTTTAACGAATGCGTACTTGAAGGATCATGGGACTTAGAAAATCGGGGTTATAAGTAAGGTACCTACAGTTATAATGACTTGTAACTGTAATCAAGGTACATATAACCCTACTTACTAAGTCCCATGATCCTCCAAGTAGGGGTTGTGGGGTTCATGCTGCGCAAAGAACTTTAAAGTCATTGAAGGTTCTGTATTCTTCGTGCACTTCGAACTCTCAGGGCGCACAGTTTGAAGGGTTTAGGTTTGGGTCCCGATTCGCAAACGAAGGTTTCAGCTTTGGGATCAGTCTCTCGGCATGTTCAATTTGTAGGGTTGAGGTTCGACTCTTTTGTTGAGGTTTGTGTCTTGAGGGTTTAGGTTTGACGTACCTTCAAAATTAAGCCTCAAGTTGGAATTACTACGTGCAGCTGCCCCGAAACCTCAAACCCTAAACCCTGATAAACAGGTCTTTCTTCAAAGGCGGTACACCCACTGCGCCGGTGATCGGAAAGAGCTTGCAAGCCTTGTAGCTATGTTTTAAGGTTTTAGGGAAATAGGGTTTAGGGGTTAGCAATACTGTTCCTTGCGGTTCCCTCACACAACTATAGTAGAGCGTGTCCCGAAACTTTAATATTATCAACCTACAAACTTGGGTTTAGGGTTTAGGGTCATGCCCGCATTCACGATACACCCCTTGCGAAGCAAGCGGTGCATGCGATGATTTCTTGCAGGATCATGGGACGAAAGTAGGGCTACAAGCACCTTAATTGGGGTTAGAAGCAATTATAGCTGTAGCTACCTTTCTTATAACCCTACTTACTAAGTCCCATGATCCTTTAAGTAGCCGGCCAGATGTGCTGGCACTTGAGCTAGCGAGTGCTGCTCTGAATGCCGATGAGACGCAATGGGTTGTTGTTGAAGATCTCCTAGCAGCATCTCCTGGCAGTCCCTGTATGATTCTAGAGGATGCCATTACTTTACACTTCAAACCTTGTATGGGTATACTCAATATAGTCTAATATGCGCCCAAAGCCTGTTTGAATGATCCAGTTGTGAACGCTCCTACGATTGATGACATAAATCCTGCCTTACCCAACTAACAAGGAATATCCCATAATTCCCACAATTTAGGGTCTTTAAGGTAATGCAAAATTTAGATCATCAACAGTATGGCCCGACCCTTCACCCTCAAGACTTTGGTTTGGTTTTCTGGTTGAGGATGTAACGCTTCAGCCGCCAAACCGTCAAACCCTATACCTAGAGGCTCCATAGTAGTTCCTTTTCGGGGTTCATATATCGAATCCTGTAAAGGTACTCCCAAAAAGGGTCTGCTATGGAGCCTATGGGTAAACTCCAAACCCCAAACCCCGCACTGGTTTTGAATTCACGGGTCCGGGCATTCTGCAGTCCTTTCTGCAATGTTTCACACTGGATCTCAAAAGGTCCAAGTACCTAATAACCATCTACTCTTCCAACTACTAACTTACAAAACTGACAACGTTAACTTCGAGCGCCTAATCATTACACCCTTTGGACCTTGAAGGGATGGCAAGTCGCTAGAGAGTTTGTGGATGCCAAAGACTTCAGGGCTTTGGTTTGGGATTGGCGGAGCTTGGTGTTGTAGGATTGTCTAGCCCTATGCCTCCAGGGACCTTATTATTGGGTCCTCAAGGGGCCTAGGGCCCTAGTAGGCCTAAAACATGAAGTCATTGGAAGTAGAGGGTAAGGCTTATAGGATCCTGTGGCGTTTAGGTTATAGGGTCTGGGCAGAGTGCGAAAAGTTCTTCAGGGTTTTGGGCTTTCACCGTCCGATTTAGGGATCGTCTGGCAGAGACAGTCGTGAAAGAAAGCCCATCCCGAAGCCCAAAGCCCTGAACCTCTCAGACGGCTTATAGTTTCTTGGGACTCAGGTCTGAAAGAGGTGTAGGTATAGGGTTTAGGATTTAGGGTTTAGGGGGGTTTTATGGGGGTTGAGGCTTCGTACGACTCTACAGCGGCTTAGGCTTAAATCACCCCAGCACCCAATTTTGCCTGGAGCCCTGGCACAGATCCAACCCTGGCATCAACGACACTCGAGCACCCTGCATCTTCCAGTGGTACACGTTCTAGGCCGTTCTTGCACAGCTTTTCAGTGTTAAAACGTAGTATGTAATAAAGAACGTGTATGTATATGCATCCACGCATGCATGCATGTATGTGCATATGTATGTCTCTATCAATTTCTCTCTGCCCGTCTGTCTGTCTGGATGCATGTATGGAGGTATATGCATAGTTATGTATGCATGTATGCATTTTGTATGCATGTATTGACTTACGTATGTATGTATGTATGTATGTATGGTATGTCATGTTGTGTTTTGTTATGTATGCATGCATGCATGCATGTTCGTGTGTCTGTGTGCTTGTATGTATGCATGCACGTATGTATGCATGTATGCATCCATATGTGTATGCGTATATATATATATATATACACACATGTAGCTATACATATATATATATACATATATATATATATATATGTACATCTAGTGTAAATGTGTGTATATGTGTGTCTATATATATATATATATATATACATATGCGCATGCACACGGATGTATAAGATCATGGTCCTTTGAATGCCGATTATTTAGGATTTAGGGTTTAGTCGCGCGGGGTGTCTGCGTTTAAAGTCCTAGGGACTTCCTTTTGTGTTATCTTCGGCTTTTTCGTTCGTAGTTGCAGAGGTGTGTTGTCGCGGGTCATGTAGCGCAAGCCTACGCTGGAATTGGCTGGATGAAATTGTTGACTCATTCCCAGATCTTGCATGGTCCTGGGTATTCAGCTGCGATGTATGAGGTGAAGAGCCTCCAGAGATGATTGATATATACATACATATATAGTTAGACATCACACATCAATGTTCGCATGGTCTGATACGATGGTATTGCAGGTTCCATAAGGGGTTAGGGCTTATGGCAGTGTGTTTGTATTGATCCAGCATTGCCCTAAACCCTAAACTCTAGACCGTCGAGCCAGAATCAGCCTCTTCGCGCGTCAGCTGTAGAGCCGCAGCATATTCCTTCAAGGGACACGGAAGCGCCTGACCGTAAATTCACTCAGCTGCTTGGTCTCAATATCGCAGCTTTGCTGTACAAAAATGCCAGACCGGGGCCGTTGTAGCAGAATATCAGAATATCTTCTCTGTGTGTAACCCTCAAGACCTGCATAGAACCCTTAAAGGAACCCTTTACCCACAGCCCAGGCTGAGATGACCGGCACTAACGGAACCAGCAAGGACCGAAGCCGATCCCCCCGAAAGGAGCTCAAGGCGAGAGAGAGGGCTTAGGGTATGGGGTTTAGTGTGTGGGGTATAGGGTTTAAAAGTTCGGTAAAATATAAGGTTTAGAATATACGGTATAGGGTTTAGGGGAAAGAAGCTCAAGGCCAGAGAGGGCGCTTCTTTCTTCTGTTCACTTTTGTTTCAGAAAGATATATAGTGCGTGGGCCCTCAATCGTAGCTCTGAAGAGCCTGCTCACCCGAGGGAATCTCAGGCTTGGGCTTTTTTGGTTCATTGGTTTCAGTGCTTCCGTCAAATACTCGGCGTGATGACGGAGGATTTGTGTTTTTTTGTGTAGTTTTCTTTGGCTCTTTCCTTTTTCGGAGAGAGGTCTGAGATTTTTCTGGGTTTGAGATTTCATCTCACGATCTGCGAGTCCCGTTTATTTCCGACAGGTCGACCCGTCCAAGCTTACCGATGCTGACCTCGCCGATGGGTGCCGAGCTTTTACAGTGGCTGTGTCTCAGGGCTTTGGGTTTTATGGGTGCCAGGGTTAGGGGCTGAGGGTTTCGGTGCTACAGGTTTCGGGCTTACGGTTCGTTTTTAAGGCAAGTTAGGCTTACCTGTCAGGGCTGAAGACAGTGACATACGGTTTAGGGATTGGGGGGGGTGGGAGCGATGACAGGGTTGTGCAGGGTTCTTTGGGTTTCAGCATCAGCCTCCGGGACGCGATCGGCAGGATCGGCCATAGGCACTGTGGTGGACCCCAAAAGTATGTAGAATTATAGCCTTTTATGGGTATTGGGCCATTATTAGGTGTGGTGGATTGATCCAGCGGCTCATGCACTGTATCAACACTTCGGAAGACTGCTTTGCTGCTACTTTGCCTTTCATGTCGTTGTGGAGGTTGATGGAAGTATCAATGACGGCATCCATGGACTCCATGGGTTCAAAACTGCGCAGATGTCGACGGTGCTTGCATCCCGACCCTACTGAACTGCCCAAGCTCGGAAGAACAGCTGCACTTGTTGGCAATCCCTTGCCTGAACATGGTTACTTTAAGTCCTAGCTGGCCTGGCCACGAAAGTAGTAATTATTCCTTTCTCCCCACATAGCAGCCCTCACCGAAAACTTTTAATTCTTCACTTTTCAATACAACTTTTTTCCAACCCTCCTTGCCGCCCTCTAAATCGAGAGCTCTGTGCCCCATGATTCAGATAGTCAGCCCTTGATCCCTAAGCCCTAAACCCTAAACTGGGATGTAGAGCAAAGGGCTGCTCGAGCATTCGGAAGACGCCGGAAAAGGGGCCTACGCCACCAACATCCTCATGAGAGTCGCAAGTTGCTTCTCCGTGAGCTTTGATTGGAGATAGCCTTGCAAATGGAGCTCTGGGTGCTGAATCTCTGAGCCGAACAAGCATGCCAAATAAGAGCCGCACTTGCAAGTGTTTGAAGTTGTTGGCTTCAGGTTCTCTGCATCCGACATTTTCGGGTCGAAGACGTCCATGAGTGTCCTGGCATCGAGATTCTGATGTCCGAAAGAAAGTGTCGAGCATTTTGCGTGCGGTTGTATAGGGGCCTGGCCCGCTATAAACACATCTTGAATTATTGCCACTCTCATCTGCCTGCTTTGCTGGCAACACCAGCTGGCAAAAAAAAGGTGTTCGTTGGCACGCCTCCGAAGTGCGCCCACACTTGGCTGAGTTGTCTAGAGTCGAAAGTGCGCTGGCTTCTGGCGTTTCATATTCGCGACCTGATGAAGGGTTCGTGCTTCTGCATAATGTTGTACATGTCAGGAATCGGGCTTCAGCTTTCTGAGTGTATAGGGACGGACCATCGTGGATCACGTTTGCGGGTTTCAATTTCAGGTTTCGGGCGGCTGGTCTTTCGGGGCTTTCACGTGTTAGTGTCGTTGGAGCAGGCGAAATTCTGAATCCTAGGGCTTGTATAGACACAGGCCCTGGGCCATGCACACTCAATACAGCCCAGACAGCTTAAATCAATTATCCCCGGACGTTGTCCCTTCGCCATATCTTGATGCATTTAATTACCCACTTTGGCACCTAAGCCTTGCAAGCACATACCCAAGGCGGCTACACCTACGATGATCTTATCTGTCTGCCCGGGCACATCAACTTCGGTGTGCACGATGTGGCGCTGGGCACACGATTTTCAAAGAAGATTCTCGGCTGCTGTTGACTTCTGTTCCGGCCCATATCGTAGACCCGCTAAACTCCATAACCACCCTAAATTCACACCTGGTCTCATGAAGACGGTCTCTAGGGGTCCTGAGCTCTAGGGTTCAGTATATGCAGGGTTGAGTGATTGGGTTTCCGGGTTTAGGGTTCTTGCGGGTCAGGGGGTCTCGAGTTCTTGCAGGATCGCGCTGAGAACGCCCATCGTCTCTAGCCCGATGGACACGGTCACGGAGTCGAACATGGCCATTGCTATGGCACTGGAGCCTTGATCCAGTCAGGCACAGTGGGATTGCAATTCAAGGCAATTAGTACATCGGGATGTGCTTCTGGTTTCTATAAGCCCTGTAGTATATAATATAGGGATGTGCTTCTGGCATTTGAAAGCCCTTGACCCCTGATTTTGAGCAGACCCTTCATCAACCCTACGCACATCCCTGCAGGAGCCGCAGTCAGCCTTCTTAATGTTCAGCCTGCAGGGCCCGGGGTTTGTTTCGGGCTTAGGTTTAGGGTTCAAGGTTTAGGGTTTCGAGTTTCCCGTTTAGGTTTTTGAGTCTTGGTAAATGTTTCGCGTGTGTCGTTATTGTTTTCCATCACTAGATTACAGTTACTACAGTATGGTATTTTACAGTACGTCATTTCATATGACAACATATACTACACATTCTAGCATGTTATAGTATGTGATGGTATACCTTGGAGGTACCAACTTTCACGATTACATTGCTAGCTAGATTGTACTCTACCCTTACCTTTGGTTAGTAGGGAATGGAAGAATGGTAGCTAATAGAAGTTATAATTATATACCCCATTCCTCCATTCCTTCCTATGGGTAGCATGATGAGGGAGACCCCTTAAAGGGTACCCCTTCCGAACCCCACTTCTGGCTCTCTAAAAGGGACCTTATTGAGAGGGTCTATATCCCCGAGGGTCCCCGTAATCCTAACTTCCCATACTAACCAAAGGTAAGTATCTTCCTTCCGAGGAAGGAGGCATCGGCGTCATCCACACCAACCTGCCAGTCGAGACCCAGGCTCCCATCCCGCTTGGGAGTTTCCGAAAATTAGGGCGGTACCTTCGGGTTCCTTTAAAGGGCTACTGTAAGGGTGCTATAAGGGTTCTATAAAGGGGGTTAGGGTTTATAGGGTTTAGAGTTTCCGAAAATTAGCGGTACTTTATTCTGGGGGCCTTATAGTAGCTATTTGGGGTGCTATATTAGGGTCCCCTATTTTCTGAAACTCCCTTTTAGTCCAGGTACGGATGTGGGGGTTTAGGGGGGGTTTAGGGATGAAACAGGGTTTAGGGGCTTAGGGGTTTGAGGTCTAGGAGTTTGGGGGTTGTACAGGTTCAGGGGCTTAGGGGTTTAGGGATTACGGTTTAGGGATTGAGGGTTTAGGGCTTAGGGAGATGTTTCTTCTGTACATTCTACGTGTCGCCTAAAGATAAGCTGTCTTTGGCCCGAAGCTGTCCACTCTTCACGATGTTCGATCTGCGCCTATGTTGATTCGTCTCGTTACGCATCGGTCTTCGCGAATATCGAAGGCCTAACCCAGAGACTCCAATATCCCGTAAAGAAGGAATATTCCTGAAGCCATATTAGGGATCCTACTATAACTTAAGGTGTATTCCATAACTAAGGGATATTGGAGTCTCTGGCAGTATGCGGTTGCACCACGTGTACCCCAAACCCTAAACCGCCGCGGGGCTGGTTGTGGCTTGGAAGATTGATCTCGCCCTGACCCTCAGCGTCAAGTGTAACATGCACTAAAGCCGACTAAAGCCATGTTCGATTTACTGCGGATCCTATACTGGCCTGACATCGTAAACATCCTGAGGAGTTTAAAATCTAAGGTTGCCAGAGGCTCGAGGAGTCAATGTCGAACTGGCCTAGGTGCGGTTCGAGAAGAACTCCCTCTACCCTGCTTATACAACCTTATCATCGCCCTCATAGAAACTCTTCGGACCTTCAGTGAAGTCGTACCCCAAGATTCCAAGTGCCCAATAATCATAATATACTCACCAAAATTCGAACCTACACCAGCTGCTGTCTTAAAGCCGAGTACCTAATTCTTGGGTCCTTTCTTATTCTTAAGCCCTAAACCCCATAGATCCCTTATGGACCCCTTTAAAGGAACCCCTCTAGATCCCTTTAAAGGAGCCTCGCCCTCAGACCCTTGGGGGGTACTGTTTCACTACTGCCCGGAGTCTGGAGTCCCGGCAGCCTGAAACTCGAAGGCCCTGGCTCCGAAGCCCTAAACCCCAATTCTCCGAATTATTCACTACGGTTGATGATATAAATCCTGCATTACCCATAATAAGGAATATACCATAATTCCCATAGTTTAGGGTCCTTAAGCTAGTGCAGGATTTATATCATCAACCGTAGGGATCTAAAGACTCATATACTAAGGCATTTGGGCCCAAAGATCATACTATACAAGGGTTTTGGGCTATTTTGATCCCTAGGGATTCAAGGCATTCGGGATGTTTTGGGGTTAGGGTTTGAGGGCCTTACAGGGATGAGGGATGTTTTGACGTTGTTCAGACTTATTATTTTGGTGTTCAACCAGAAGGGACCATTAGCCCCAACTCTAAGGGTCATGCTCAAGATCTTTCAACATCCCAAGCAGGAGACTGGAGACTGCAAACCATGCAAATCTAACGTGTCGGTGCTGCGAAGTGTGGGCCTAGTTCGGGCTACGGTTTTCTGAGCCAGGTTTTGAGGCCTAGGATTCTGTATGTAGGCTTTAGGGGAACCCCAAATCCCTTCGAAACGCTGTTGAGCCCGGAGCCTGAACAAGACAGTTTAGTGGAGGCCGCCGAGGTTGCGCGGGTGAAGAAGTTCAAGGCACCCGTCTGTAGCAGGAGGTGAGGTGCGTAGTGGGTTAGTGGGTTTTGGTCAGCAGTATCTTCAGATCGCAGTAGCAAGAAGACATACCTTACTGTGCCTGTCTGTAGTGGCACCTTACTTAAATACAAGCCTCAGCCAGTGTTTCTCGACCTGAATATGGTGATCTGCACGGATGGTTTATATGCACATGACAGAACTATTCATCCAGAGGTAGAGGAAGGCTGTTGAGTCGTTTAGCTTGAAATGCAAGACGGGCATCTCATGGCATCTCAGCTCAGATCCGAGCATGCGTCTTTTCGCTTTTAGAGTCAATTGTTGTTCGGTGGCTTCGTACAATTTATCGAACCCAAGTGTATGTGTGCCCAGTGGTTTGCTGAACGACCCAATTAGCCGGAGAACATAATTCAAGAATGCTGTGATGATTTGGTCAATTGCTCGATCCCTAGGGCTTGACAGAGCGCCACACTTTCCCTGAACCCTAAACCTCTAAACCCTAACCCCTAAACCCTAAAACCCTAGACCCCTAAACCCAGAGCCTATTAATCATAGACACTTGCACCGCTGTCAGTTTGAGGCGGGTTTCATTCTGGAGCCTCGCTGTGTTCCGCCCACGATGACGCTGGAAGAGTTGGACAAGCTCAAGAGTAGCTTGGAGTTATGGGTAAGTACAAGTAGGGTCAGAAGTCCCCTCATATGGGTTATAAATATAGTTACCCTACTTATAGTAGTAGCTCGGAGTTTTGAGGCCAGGGTTGGGGCTTACAATTGGGTTGAAGGGAGTAGGGTAGAGCTTAAGTGCATGTGGACTATTATACCAATTCGGGCTTTGGCGCTTTTCTGATGTAGCTTATCTTCGGCAGCCGCGAGATTGTCGGAAATTGCTATCCACGACTTGAGAAACCATGCTTCCTACAGATGCATGCTCTCGATGACTTTGGATAGATACATGTAATTAGTCTCCATTGTAGTTCCTTTTTTGGTTTAACCAATTATGGATTAAGGATCCTGTAAGGTACCCCCAAAAAGGAACTACAATGGAGACTATAGGTAAGTTCCAGGCAGATTATGGAACCCACATGCCTTCCCGAATGCTTCCTGCACATGGAGCAGGAGCTTTCGGATGCTTTCTGATGTTGGGTAGTGTAGACCAGTGGTTACCCAGAGGCCCCAGAGTAGTTCCTTTTTGGGGTTACCTTATAGGGTTCTATATATGAACCTCAAAAAGGAACTACTTTGGGGCCTTTGGGTCATAAACCCTCGCAGGGAGAGGATGTTTGTCCATCAGGTGTCCGCATTCGGTGGTTTTTGCCGTCTGTCCTTTCGTGTCCCCACAGTTTGCTAGAGCGAGGGAAGTCCTTTCGGTGAGTTGAATTTCAGCTACGTGCAATATATAGAAGCCTAAATACTTACCAAGACTATCCTGTGGGGTTCCTCATTATAACTCTGTCAGATCACAACCCTCAAACTATTCATTATAAAGGCCCCTAGATTCAGCATCAGGAGTGGTCATGGTAACGCAGCCTCAGAACTTGCTGACGGAGAAGAAGAGCCGGTCCAGATGAAACCCCCAAACCCCTAAATCCCTAAACCCTAATTTAGGGTTTAGGGTTTATGGTTTAGGGCTAAACCCCAAACCCCAAACCCCTAAATCCCTAAACCCTAAACCCCAAACCCCTAAACCCTAAACCCCTTGAGCCCTAAAGCGTAAACCCCTGAGCCTTAGGCACTCTCGGCTTCACGGGCTTCCCGGTGACGGAGAGCGGGCAGATGGGAGCCAAGCTTCTGGGTCTTGCAGCCTGCCTCTTATTGGTCCCGGGGCCCCTTCGGGGTGTAAGGTGGAGTTTTGATTTTGAGTTCTGGGCTCCGTAAGTTTAGAGTTCTGTAGAATTTTTTTGTGTCGTAAGACTTGGACTTGGAAGTGTTGTTGTTTGTGTGAGGCTTCGCTCTTCAAGATGTTCTGGCTGCTCTGTTGGTCGGTTTTGTTGCGTGCCTGTTCTGAGTTGAAGTCGCACGGTGCACAGCGAATCAGGACAGCATTCGGTGTTGTCACCAGTAGTGAGAGTTCCTGCAGCAACAGGTCACGAAGCGCGACACGGATTTTGTCCAGGACCGGCTGGCTGGTTGCTGGGAAAAAGCAAGGTTTCGAGTCGAGTGTCCGCAGCCCACTGTGACCTATTCCTGCCACTTTTTCCATAATTAGGATTCACGGCTCAGGGTTTAGGGGTTATAAGGTTTATCTTAGGCTTCAGGCTTGTATCCACATCGGACTTCTTGAGTTCACACGTACTAGGGCTATGTGACTTCTTGGGCTCGGGGCGCCTGCCACCCGAGACCCTAGATCCTTGATATATAAGACTAAGAGCCCTTATAAAACAATCGGACACCTCTCAAACCATTAGCTACAAGAAAAATCAACCCTAAAACTAACGCAACACCCTGACCAAAACACTGAAGCACCGAACGAACCTTAGGACCATCTGACACCTGAGCAGCCTGAAGCCCAAACAAAAACACGGGACCTCACCAATAAACGAACAGCCCAAGGCGCATAACCCATAACCCAAAAAGCTAACCAGCTTACACCGCGAAACACAACTGCGAACCCTTAAGCCCGTACAAACCCTATTTGCAGGGGGGGACTTAGTAAATATGGTATAAGTAGGGTTATCATTGGGGTAACTCCATTTAGGGTACTTATAACTCTACTTATAACCTACTTACTAAGTCCCCTGCCCCTCCAAGTAGACCACGCAGAAACAATACTAAACCCTGAACCCTAAACCCTGGTGTTCTTGTTAACCTTCGGGACAGGGAGAAAAGAGGGTTAAACAAAAAAAAAAAAAAAACCTAAACCGCCAACCGCCGCGAGGACCGTCAGACCCGGCTCAGTCAGATTATGACCCCGGCGGCCGACTTGGATGCTTGGCCTGGAGCCAGTTTCGGGGTTTTAGGTTCGGCGTGTAAGTAGTAGTAGTAGTAGTAGTAGTAGTAGTAGTAGTAGTAGTAGTAGTAGTAGTAGTAGTAGTAGTAGTAGTAGTAGTAGTAGTAGTAGTAGTAATTAATGAAGTTCCAGGATTTTGGGGGAATTGGGGCTGAAGGGTAGTTTGTAGAGGGCTTCAAATGAGATTTAGAGGGCTGTGATTCGGGCGATGCACACGCGCAAGTGTGTGCGTGCGTGTCTGTGCTTGAGAGCTATTTTTTGCTTTGTGTTGTACTGTTGAGTTGGGTCTAGTACAAAGCTTTGACACGTCAGCCTTGTTCTCTTCATCTCTTGATCGTTTGGGACCTCGTGGGGAACATAGCTGTCAACGGTCTACGATTCAACACCCCCAAGCCGGAACCCCAACGCCTAACAGTCTTGAACCCAACTCCGGGTTATGTGTCTGCAACGGTTAGTTTCATTCATTATCGGTCATTCAGCAACGGTTTCAACCATCAGACGGGCAGCAAATTCTGCATCCCTCTCGCTGATGGAGACATTTTCTTTTGTGAAACGGTCATGGTTCTCATAGTTTAGCGTACATGCGCAACAGCAGAACTTTGTCATCACCAGGAGTATGTTTGAGACTCAACCGCATGTGCGCACTCTGCCCTCAAGGTATAATAAACCTCGAAGATACCCTAGCGACTAGAACCACGAAGACAGCGACGCCGCAAATCAAGAATCACGGAATCCCTGAACCTACCCATAGGCCCCAAAGTAGTTCCCTTTTTGGGATTACCTTATAGGAGTCTTTCTACGAGCCCCCAAAAGGAACTACTTTGGGGCCGTAGGGTAACGGCAAACCCAACCGAATCCGATGACAACTCAGGTCACTAAGCTCGAAGGCTGCGACCTCATCGAGGCTATGAGTCGTCCATTGGGATCAGGGTTTAGGGATTCCGAATGTTTTTTGAGTTTAGGGCTTAAAGTTTAGGGCAAGGTTTTCGAATGGTTTTAACTAATGTCCTCTGTGTGTTGGGGGTTTACCGGGTTGCACATCGATTTTATGATAAGTTGCTTAGACGATCGGCTTTGCAGTTCTGGAGGACCTACATGCACCTACACGCACGGTTTTTGCTACCACAATCGGGATAATGCATTGTAGTCCACACCAGGCGCAAATCTCACCTGAACAGACCTCCTCATCTGCAGAGGAGAAGGGTCTTAACTTCGGGCTCTGGGGGTTCGGGTTTAGGGTTTTGGGGTTGAGGTTGTAGGGTTTAGGGCGTAGGGTTAAGCATGCAGGGTTAACTTGCTAAGCCAGGTAAAGACCAGGGCTCTGAAGCCGAACCTTTGAACGGCAGCTCACTCTCCATCTGTAGGCCAACGAGACGCTGCAGAAGTCGAAGAAAGGAAAGCAGCTGGGATGAAGTAGAGAACCCTCCTTAAACCCTAAACCCTAATCCCTAAACCCTAAACCCTGAACCTAAACCCTGAACCCTAAACCTGAACCCTGAACCCGGTCGGCCGGAACCCGGTCGTTTGTCAGCTCTCGGGAGTTTTTCTGGGTTGACGGTCTAGAGTCTAGAGGTTAAGGTTGTTTTTGTTGGGCTGCTTTGGGAATTTATAGTTTTTTACGGTAGCATATTAAGGATGTCAGTTGCGTACGGCCCCCACTCAGTAATAGTTGAATAATTTTCATAATATAGATATATTAGGACAACAAAAAAAGCCCTATTATAGACTCTTACTGCAGGGGGCAGTACCTAAGATGTCAGGTTAAAGGGCTTCAGCTCTCAACTGGTGGGACTCTTCCAATCTATTGATCAGGATCTGCATAGGACCTAGCAACTAGGGCTAACTAGGGAAGGGCACTTACCCTAAACCGCTAAACCCTACAAACCCTAAACCCCTAAGACCCTGAAACCCTAAACCCCCAAACCCCTTGAGCCCTCACCTTCGTTACTACGTCCCATCCCCGAGCAGCTTAAGGGTTAAGGGGCTTAGACTTCACGGGTTGAGGGCTTAGGGGTTTAGGGTTTCCTGATGAGCAAGCTAGTTGTAGTCCTCCCGGAAGCATATAAAGTTCGAAGTAAACTTACTTGTCTTGGATGGGAAATTGTTGACGTACAGTTTCGGGTTCCCTTGTTGTTTCCTGCTGATATGCTTTGGGGGGGATGGGGGGGCTACCCGAAACCTGTGAAGGCAGATTGAGAGCTTTCCACTCTCGAGCCGAGGCTCCCGATTGTCACTAAGAGTGGCCTTCTGGTTGCCCTGGTTGCAAGATGCTTGCCTGAAGGGTTTATGGCTTTATGTCTGTGTGCGTGTGTGGGTTTGAGTGTGAGTGAGTGTGGTGTGGGGTTGTTTAGTACTTAGTAGCCCCTAAACCCCTAAACCCCTACACCGGGCTTTGAGGCAAGGGTTCAGGGTTGAGCACAACAGGATCCTGAAAGAACAAGCCCGTCCCCCGTAAACTTCAGAACCACGAAACACGAAACCCTTGCGCCCGGGATGTTTAGGGGAGCTAAGGGCTTCGGGGTGCTTGATAATCATGTAGCCTAATCTTCAAGCGGTGCTTTTGAGGCTCGGATAAAAGCTTTTGGGAGACAACTTTCCAAGCCCAATGATGTTTTTTGGGCACAGGCATTCTATCTACCTATCTAACTATATGTGGTATGTGTATGTATGTATGTATGTATGTATGTGCATATGTATATATATATATATATATATATGTATATATACACACCCATACATATCTACCAACCTATCTACCTACCTACGTACCTACCGACATACATACATACAATCAGCCAGGATTCGTCCATCCATTTCATATCCACAAGAACTACAATACAATGGCATTAACTTTCACCCAAGCGGCTAGTCAATGCGTACTTTGGACCCTCAGGCTAGGACGTTTAGGGCCGCATGAATGCTCTTGTTTTGGCTGTAGAGGTGTTCTCTTTTTTGAGCTACGAGCTTTAGCCCGCACAGTGGACAGGAACCGTTTTTTCTCTCTCGCTTCGATCAGATCTCCCAATCCGGGCCGTGAGTTTCATCTCAACTTCTGACTCACGAGCCCCACCACATGTGCACACGCCTTTTTTCACCCAAGTCCCAAATACAGAGCCCGCCCAAGCCCACAGATCCCGACCCAACATCTCCACGCATCGAAAGTGGATGGACTGGATGCACGGCCCTATCGGTTTGGGTTTCCGTGGGCGTCAAGGAACCGATATCAAGAAGAACGTGGACTTCCCCAACGCCACGAAGCATCCGGTGAACAAGGCCCGTGAGTGACCCCAATCCTAGGTCGTGGTAGTCAGCTCCCGTGGGCACAGTGCTGTGCTTCTAGGAGTTAAGGGGACGGATTGTCGATCCTGGGCATTTTCGATACCAGCTGCTCATTCCACCAAGTTTTCAGCCCGGAGTTTGTTTGGTTTAATCTTCGAGCCTGGCGGTCTGACCTGGCGTTCTTGGCTTAGCAAGCCATCCTCGGCCCCCGTTCGACATGATGACATATGTGCACGGGCACAAGTAACTGTACATGCGTACACGTACAAAGATTCCTGAAAGCATGTGTGTAGGCCTGGAATGCATATGTATATGTACATGTATGTATGTGTATGCATATGTATATGAATATGAATATGTATATGTGTGTATGAATGTATGTGTGTATGTATGTGTATGTCTGTAACTGTTTATGTATGTATGTATTTGCGCATGCATGCATGTATGTACCTATCTTTCCAGCTATGTATGGACATGTGTATGATTGCCTGTATGTATGTACGCACGTACATATGTACTTACACATCTCTGTGTTTATGTCAGTGTATGCATGCATGCACTTGAAGTGTATGATTGAATGTAATTGTGCGTGGCTGCATGCATGTATAGTTGAATGTATGTACATACGCAAGTATGTATATCTGTACCTCTGCATATATGTATGCATACATCCCTTTCCGTGGATGTGTGTGTATCCATGTGCATGTGCTCATGTAGATATGTACCGGCCTAGGTATGTAACTTGTATATGTACGTGCACCTGTATATATACACATATATATATATATATATATATATATACGTGTATACATGTTGGCATTTGTCTATCCACTTTTACAAGTAGGTACACTTCATGTATGCATGCATGCATGCATGTATGCGGACATGTATCTATACAGGCGGCAAGCTTGCCTGTTTGCATGCATGAACGCATGCACCAGAGCAGGAGTGCATAAATTCAGTCACACACGGCTACCCTGCCTGTACCTCGCATCATGTGTTGTTGCGTGATACACGCCGCACCTTACAAGAAAATCTGATCATATTGAACTGTGTAATTACTGCTTCTTTGGCTAAATAGGTTCGCCTTATGCATATGGCAGGATCACTTGTTAGTATCTTGTTTTGCTGCATGTCTCCCCTCACACACTTATAGATGCCAAGATCGATTCTGTCTGCTAAAGAGGAGCTCCTGGTCGCAGCGGCCATTGGCACACGCCCCGCAGATCGTGATCGAGTGAAGGCCCGATCTTCACTGATGAAGACGAAGTCAAACCACTTCGTTGACGCATAGTAGATTCGGTTTTGGCTTGTGTAGGTATCCTCAAGTTACAAAGCCCTTACAGGAATGAGGTTTGGGTTTAGAGTTCAGGGGATGCTTCACAGTGATAGTGACTCTCTCATCCCCACCTGCATGTCCCAATATCGCCCGCCTGGACCTTCCTGAGCAAGGCACCGAAGATGTTGAAACACCCCTTAAGAGCAAATACTGGCCAATAAGTACGGCAACGCATACTGTGCAGCTTCTTGCATGTTTTCGCGGCCGCGCTCACGATGTTTCTGACATGGACTTTGGGATGAAGTATCAACTAACCGTCCCCTTTTTCGGGTTCCGTACTCTTATATGATTTCCTCATATATATTTTTTCGAGAAGGTAGGTAGGATTTAGTGTCCAGGTGAGCCCTAAACCCGAACTCCTGAGCTGCGAGGCCTTGGTAGCAGCTGGCGTGGATGCGGTCGTCATTGACAGCAGCCAGGGTGACAGCGTGTTGCCTGGCAGATCGAAACCAGAGCAAGGGTCGGGCCACTTGGAGGGGCAGGGGATTTAGTAAGTAGGTTATAAGTAGGGTTATAATTGGGGTAACTCCATTTAGGGTACTTATAACTCTACTTATAACCTACTTACTAAGTCCCGTGCCCCTCCAAACAGTAGTTACCGCTCATAGTGTTTATAGGGTTTAGGATAGACCGCTACTGTTTTCCGATGGGGGTCTATGTGCCCGCGCAAGTACTACCCCATTACACAACCCTAAACCCTAGACCCTAAACGCAAAACCCTATACCCTAAACCCTTAGCCCTAACCGATACCTTAACCCCAGATAACCTACCTTTCTAGGGACTTACACCAAGAAATCATATTAGGGGCCCTAAAAAGGATTAAAAAGGTAGGTTCCTTAGGGTCCAGATATAACCCCCAATAGTTTGAACACGAAACCCCTCGAAGCCCTGCTCTGGTTCTTCGGGCGCTCACGGTACCCAGGTTCCAGCACGAGATGGTCAAGTGGATCAAGAGCAACTTCCCCGACCTCCAGGCTGCTGTCTGTTATACACGTATATATGCATATACATATACATATACATATACATATATGAATATGAATATAAATATATAAATATATATGTGTAGCGATAGATAGTGAGTCCGGGAGCCTGTTATGCTAGGTGGGGTTTAGGGTTTTGGGTTTAAGGGCTAGGTTCTGCCACAGCCCTTCGAGTGCGTAGCGAATTTAATTTAGCACCTATCATTGCAATCTTGCAGGTGGTGGCTGGCAATGTAGTGACCAAGCGCCAAGCCCAGCACTTGATTGAGTGTCTCGACGGCAGTGACTGTCCACCGGTTCGAACCTTGGGCATGGCTGCTCATCTTACCTTTGGTTAGTAGGGAATGGGGCTCCTGTAAAGGGATCTATAGGGTTCCTTTAAAGGGATACTTACCTTTGGTTAGCAGGGAATGGAGGAATGGGGTACAATTACAAGTACTATTACTACCATTCCTCCATTCCCTACTAACCAAAGGTAAGTCATGTTGTCGCTATGTGAACCGTGCGAACGCTGCCAGTCCGACCACACACCGCATTCATCTAATCTGTCCAGGAGGACGGTTGCTTCTCAAGATAGTTCTGAGTGCTATTGCGCACAAACGTTTCAAATTCGATCAAACTAAACCCTAAACCCTAAAACCCTAAACCCTAAACCCTACATTCAACCATGAGCTTTTAGCCTTACAGCCCAAAACCTAAGATCCGAATCACGGGAAATCTGGAACGGCCTGTAAACCCTCGCAGACCAAGTCCCCAATCTCCAAAAGCCCACGGTCTGATCCCCCGCAACCATCAGTCGAGGCTTAGGGTTTATAGGGCTTTCAGGGTTTTTTGGGTTTACAGGGCTTTTAGGGTTTATATAGAGTTTTTTTAGGGTTCACAGGGATTTTAGGGTTAGGGTTTAGGGGGTCTTCGGGTGTCCGTTTGCGGTTACGGTCCAGAATTCAGAATCCTTTCGTCCCAAGGTGTGGTGCCGATGCTTTGCGCGTCGGCATGGGGATCGGCTCCATTTGCACGACGCAGGCCGTGTGGGCTTTACTTTTGGAGCCTAAATGTTTATCAATATTATTCCCTAGGGTTCCTTATTACAGCTAGACTATAATGGAGCCCATTTCCATATTCTCATTATGAAGGCCCCTTCATTATGTTTTGGCTCAAAGACTGAAAATGGGGGCTTCAGGTTTCCGCCCAACAGATTTTCGACTTTCGGGTTACCGGAGCTTTGGGCATAGGGCGTCTGGGTTTAGGGCTTAGCGTGTATGCTGCGCCCCGCCGTAAAGTGATGCCTGCTGTGTGGGGTCTGCCAGGAAGATTCTCCCATAGCGACAGTAATGCGCGTTCCTTAGAGATGGGCCACCCGAAACTCGGACACCGTCGTTGTAAGCGACATTCATTGTCTCATGACCCCAAGATACAGGGGATATCTCCTCGAGGTTCAAGAAGCACAGTACCACGGTTACCCTGATCATTTTCCCTGGGCCATCCTGCAGAAACCGTCAAATCCAACCCTAAGCCGTCTACCCGACCTGTCCTAGAGATTGCTCCCTGAAGCCCACACCGGAAAGCCCTAAACCCCGAAGCCTAGATACCGAATAGCCACCAGCTGCCGAGAGCCCTGAATCGATAGATCCTCAACCCTGAATCCAAAAGTCTCAAGCTCAGAGCCTGGCCTATACTATTATATGGCACCATATATATATATATATATATATATATATATGAGTATATATATATATATGTATACATATATATATATATGTATATGTGACAGTTGATCACATATACAGGCATATATACAGACACATATGTATAAATGAAGCTAGAAAAGATGTGTGTATATGTATATATATATATATGTACTCATTTATTTGTTTACATTCATACATCACTATAGAGGAATAGAAGGCCAGCCCCCGGTCTCAGGAAGTGTGTGCCTGCGGACGGGCGCAGGCCTCGGCGGTCTACAACGCCTCTGGGACTGCGATGCGGTTTAGGGTTTATTCGGATTTTGAGGCCGGCAGCATTCTTCTGGGCTTGTGGTTCAGGGCTAAGCCCAGAGGCTCCAAGTCTCAATATAGTATACTGTAGGTTCTTTGTACATATTTTGGGCCCCTACATTAATATATAATTACTATACTCATACTTGGACCCTTTGGGATATGGCCTGGGGTGGAATTCACTGGCGCTGCGACGAAGAAACGGGGGCACAAACACGCGAGGCTACCCGAAAAGGTCTGCTGGAATTGGAAGGCTTGGTGCTTATTTTGTTTGATTTCCTTGGAGCCCGGCAAAATATGTAGGACAACGGACGCAGCCAAAAGTCCGCAGTCTGGAGATCTCATCAAGGGTTCCCAGCCTGTTCTGCCCAAACCCTATCTTGCATCGTCCCATGAGGTCCCCAGATTCCTGTTTTGCTACTGATTCACTGCGAGGGCTCACACAATCCCTGTGGTTGCTTCGTTCAGGTGGGACCTACGTGGGTTTAGCCATGCTGAGCCGTAGATCCCTGCTTCAGTGCCTGAGGGTCAAGGGAAGAGCTCCACAGAGTTCAGAGTATATATGGGGGTTTGGGATGCAGGTAGATAGCAGACCGAAAGCCAAGGTAGCCAAGCTTGCCAGACATTATGGTGTTCCGATCCTGGCAGATGGTGGCATTTCCAGCCCAGGCAGGTAGCTCCAGGTGTTTGTTCGGATCAGTGTTGCAGTGGATGATTCGGAGTCGTTGCCTGACTTGCAGCAACGAAGTTAGTAGGCCGAGTAATTGAATTTAGTTCCCAGTTTTCGGTGTTCTCTGCTTCGTACCGGCAGAAGGCTTAGTCTTGAACGTGATGCAACCCAAGACTCTATTTCCACACATGGTTAGGTCTTCTGATCCGAACACTGCTGACTAGGGTGTTTGGACAATGTTCACCCCGTAGGTGCAGACCAGACCTGGGTGGATTGAATCTCCGTTTCGTCCAAACAAGCAAGATGGAGTCTGCGGGTGACAATCACAATGCCGAGTTCAACACCATGCCCCTGCACCGTTCAACACCATGCCCCTGCACCGTAAATGCAAAAACAAGACTGCGCTGGGCCGTCCCTACCCTACCCCATGTAACCCACTGGGATATGCGGCTGCGCGTGGCTCAACTAAGTGTTGCTGAAGAGTATTCTGACATGAACCGCAGGTTCAACGCATGTCCGAAGCAACCTCCAACCTAAACCGTCCCAGAACCACAAGGATGGAACGTCCCAAACCCTGCTCTCTGGTTTAGAGCAGTAGGTACAGGACTGGCCTCTAGATCGGATTTGGAACAGCGGACCTGAAATTGTCAAGTAGACCCTGCACTCTAAACCCGCAAGTAATTACAGAGAAAGGGCCACTGCACTTAAAACAAAAAAACAATTTGCATACAAACACAACCCATCAGGTCACGTCGTCAAGGCTCTGAGCTTGGGGGCGGGTGCTGCCATGTGCGGCCGCTGGGAGAGCAGTGCCTACCCAGAGACTCCAATATCCCTTAATTAAGGAATATTCCTTAAATCATATTAGGGATCCTATTATAAATTAAGGTATATTCCTGAATTAAGGAATATTGGAGTCTCTGGGTATTTGCCAGGCTGTCCTGGACTCGGGTTTAGCTGAAAGCACTACTTGGAGGGGCAGGGGACTTAGTAAATAGGTTATAAGTAGAGTTATAAGTACCCTAAATGGAGTTACCCCAATTATAACCCTACTTATAACCTACTTACTAAGTCCCCTGCCCTTCCAAGTAGAGGGTGGATATAGCGAGGAACCCAAAAGGGAAGACAACTTATATAGATCGACCACCTGCTGATAGAGAGATTTGGGATTTTAGTTTGCCGCCCTCTTTCCTCGACACCCGAAACGCATCTTGAAAATAGGGGGCCTAAGCGCATGCAGGACCCGCTGTAATGCTTTACTTAATGTTTCAGCGCTTTCAGGGGTTTGGCGTTATGTCGCGTGGTCATGGTCTTTGGTTCATATCAGGCGAACAGGTTTTTTAGCCTATGGGGTTTAGTAGGGATTCGGGTTCCCATAATAGGGTTCATATGAAGGAATCCCCACCCCCCAAGAATCTTAAACCCCCCTTTTGGCCTCCCACCTTTGGTGCCAGATGAGCAGCCTTGACACTGAAGCCGAGATCGGATACCAAAACCCAAGTCCCCAAGTTCTACGAGAACTGAGAAAGCCTTGATCTTTTCAGCTCTAATACCCATAAACCCAGGAAAAAGCCTTAAAGCCTAAACCCCGAAACTCTAACCCCCTATAAACCCTTAAACTTAAATCCCTAAACCCTAAATTCTAAACTCCTAAACCCCTTAAACTTAAACCCCTAAACCCAAAACCCTAAACCCTGAGCGAGTAACTTTGGCATGAGCTGAGCTAAGGCAGCCTTCTGGCCGGCACAGCCGAAACACCGGGGGAGCTCTCTGGTGGCATTTGGGAGTTTCTGAAAATAGGGGACCCTATTATAGTACCCTAATATCGTAGGATCTTTATTAAAAGGGCCTTTCTGAAAATAGGGGACCGGGACCCTAATATAGTACCTTAATATAGTAGGATCCTTATTAGGACTCTGAAATAGGAACCCCTGACTTTCGGAAACTCCCATTTGTTTCTGGAGATTTAGGGCCTGCAGGGTTTAGGCTCTGAGGTTTTTTCTAGGGATTTACGGCCGGCACGGCTTCATGTAATCGTAATCACCACATGTCTCTTTGTGGCGGATTGCCGTGTCAAAGCGCGTTCCTGCGCTGCTCTCCTGAACTTGAAGCCTGTTGTCTCGCACAGGCTGAAACCTCGTGTCGGATTCAGTCTTGTCACATTGGACATTCTAGGCGCAAAAAATGAAGACCCGAATTCGGGAATGTGTGATACGAGGTACTTCTATTCCGACGATGGAAAGCGCCTGAAGCGCTACCGCGGTATGGGCTCCATCGATGCCATGTGGCCAAGATGCAATAGCATTAGACCCTAAGCCGCATGACGGTGTCAGGCATGCACGATGTAGGTCTTTGGGTTTTCGGCGGAGGCTTCAGCTTAGTTCAGATCCGAGGTTTAAGTTGTGTTGTGTTGCCTAGTGCTTGAGCCGAGTCATGTACTTTAGTTGGCCCGGTATTGCGGCCTAGAGTCAGCCGGACACGGCATTACGAAGCACGTGAGCTTTGCAATCGTGTCAAAGACTTTTCAGCCATACGGGCCAATGTAGCCCAGCAGCCAATTCGCTAGGCAGAACATTAAACCCCCACCTGATCCCGACACATGTTTCTCGTGGGTTATAGCCTCAGTTGTTTCGATGTGTCGTATACTAGTTACTAGAACAGGTAGCTTTCTGCTGAAAAGGCACGTGATGAGTCTACGGCAGAATCATCAATATTCAGACCGGACCTTTGATCGTCGACCGACAGTGATAACTGAAGCTACATCAGCTTGGAAACCTGATCCGACCCCTATTCCGGGCCCCAAGATCATACTTAACAAGTGTTTTGGACCTGGTCGCCCAATGTTTAAGGGCTCTGTATTCGGCAAACTGTAAACCGCAGCTTTCCTCGATGTAGGCTCTCCTCAGCGACCACAGCAAGCATGTTCCCGTCCAAGGCATACGACGACTGTAGCCAGCCTCATAGTGAGAATAGGGTGTTAGGTGCAATTGGACTTGAGTCGGAACAGGGCTTGCAGTAATATTATCCTACTTAAAGGATCATGGGACTTAGTAAATGGGTTATAAGTGGGGTTATACGTCCCCTAAGTGGGGTTATCCTAATTATAACCTACTTATAACCTTACTTACTAAGTCCCATGAGCCTTCAAGTATGGTTGGTTGTATTGGGCCCTACCAATAAATCAAGGGACTATTGCGAGTAATACAGGGTACCCCGAAACCTTGAACCCCAAAACACAAGAAGCGATGTCCATCTCCAGAGGCCTAAACCCTGAAACCCTAGACCTTGCACCGCGACCACCGGGCAGGAAGAAGGGGAGTGATGATCGGTACTTTGGCACCGCCGCCGCGATCAAGGTGGCACCGTTTGGGAGGGTTTAGGGATTAGGGTTCAGGGATCAGCATTTAGGATAATTCGGGTTGTATGCGGTACTGCATTTTGTATCATGCGTAGGCTTAGAAGGAAGCTAGCATCTTTTCTTGAGGACTCCTGGTGCAAGCCGTTGGTGAGCAATCCGTGCGAACACTCGTGTTGAACAGCCCCCGAAAACAACATCTCAGAGACTGAAAGAAAACCGTGTGGATTTGTTTGTTTCAGTGTTTTGAGGGCTGCAGGCTCAGGAACATAGTACACTATACTTGTCATGTGGCTTATCTTGAGCCTAACTTACGGACCATCATCTATTCACTGGGTCCTCTCCAAACCATAGAATCTCTGAAACAAACCACACTGCACCTTCCAACTTGAAACAGAGGAAGCAATTTCCAATGATTTGTCGCTGGCTTTGCACTGGGTTCCATAGTGCGGCAGTCGGGTTCATTTGCTTGAAGCCGAGCAGCTAAAACTCTGAAACGAGTGAACAAACACCTTGAAGCCTAGATCCTTTACTTCAACACCTCATCACTGAATTCGAAACCCTAAACCATAAACCCCAGCCCCAAACCCTAAACCTTAAAACCCTAAACCCCTAAACCTTAAACCCTCAACCCTAAACCTTAAACCCTAAACCCTCAATTCTAAAGCCCCCAAACCCTAAACCAACCCGAGCATGCTGGATGGCTTCCGGAGGTCGCTCAGGGTGTTTCTGGAACAGTGCAGGACGGGAGAGCGGGATGTGTGTGTGTGTGTGTGTGTTCTGTGTGTGTGTGTGTTCAAGAGCCATATATACAGTATGTATTCATGTGTGTTCAGTTGTTTGTCTGTCTGTGTTCATTTAACTCTGTATGTGGTTGTGTTTGTTTTATGTGTGTTGTTGTTGTTTGTTTGGTTTGTTTGTGTGTTTGTTTGTTTGGTTGGTTGCTTGGTGGCTTGATTGCTTGGTTTCTTCGTTGGGTGGTTGGTTGGTTGGTTGGTTGGTTGCTTGGTTGTGTGTTTCTGTGTTAGCCAGTTAGACTATTCAGTTTTGTGTTGCCGTGTTTGTCTTTCTGTTTCTACTTGTTTCATAGGCTTGCTTGTTTACTGTCTATGTGGAGACATACATACATGCATACATACATAAGTACATATGTATGCATTACATGTACACATACACAACATACACTTACACTTACAAACACATTCATTCATGCATGCATGCATGCATAATGCATAGATAAGTTTGCAACTGTGTGTGCAACTATTACATATCTACTTATCGATCTATGAATCTACCGATCTACCTATCTATCTGTATGTAGACATATGTATATATAAGTGTCCAAAGTAGATAGATAGATGGACATATACAAATGTTACGGTCACTGTGATACCCCGCCCCCTCCCTCCCCTGAGGTTGTTTTGCGTGGCGCGGGGGTTTCTTGGGGCAGGGTTTGAAATCAGAATAATAGGAATAATTTATAACGTCTGGCCGTGTCCGGGGACTATAGTACTAGTAGTAATGGTAGTATAATACTAGTAACAGTAGTAATCGTAGTAATAGTAGTACTGTTATAAGTAATTAGTCCTGGATCCTAATGTTCTTGGGCATTTGGGGCCCTTAATATTTTCATTGTCACCCCTCACATTATTGCGAACCCCCCTTCCAACATCAGTTGTTTGGGGAAATTGGCTACGCAACGAAAACTCCTCTTCCGCCCGGATATTCGGCCCCGCGGAATATGTTGATTGTCACCGCGTTTAATAGAGTGACCGCAACATTAGATAGGTAGAGAGTTGGACCGAAAACAAAGATGGATTGAGAGGCAGATAGGTATACAGAGAGAAAGATAAAGAGACAACGAGAGAGAGAGAGAGAGAGACACACACACAGACAGACAGACAGACAGACAGACAGACATATGAAGCGACGGATCAGCCTTGAACAAGTGGATGCTTCGATTGTTTACCTGTGCTCAATGCTCCGAAGGGATCGTAAAACAGCGGCGTTGTGCTGATGTCTCCGTCTCAGACGGATTGGCTCGCCACACGCCGGGCGCAGATATCAGAAGCTCCAGAAACGACCCTGAAGATTTGAACCCGGGACCCAAAACCCTGAACCCTTAATTCGAGACCCCATCCTGGGCAGCCCCATTTCCATGCGGAGGACAAAGGCAGCATCCACAAGTACATCCCGTATCTCACGCCACCTGCCTTAGAAGTTGGAGGTTTTGTAAGCCCGAAAGCGAACACTATCCGAGACTTTATAGATGCTCGGTTCTCAACTCGAAAGCGTAAGTAAGCTTATAGTGTTTAGTGTAGCCTCTCGCTTTGACTGTTGATATAGTGCTCGGCAGCATGGGCACGGGGTTCAGTTGCGCATCGAAGCACCGCTTCTCCCTATGATGTACGCAGGGTTCCTCCGTCAAAGCCTTAGAAGCCTGGAAACCCGTGCAGACACACGTGAATGAACACCGGCACAAGGCACCCATATGTGTATGTGTGTACTTATATGTATGGTTTGTATGGTATGTATGTATACATGCATGCATGAATGTATATATGGATACATCTGCATATGTCTAGAAAATGGCTGGGCGGAGGTGTGGGGTCATTGCTAGTTTCGTGTCCTTACACTCCGTAGCACGCAACTTAGTCTGCGTCCCTTTTAATGTTTAGGGAAGTATCTGCAGCACCGTTTGGGTGTTGATACCTTGAGGTTCGAACCTTTGAGAGGTTGGTTGTAGTCTGCGATCAGGCAGATCAGAGTTTATTGCGTTGACTGGCAGCGTTCAAGTTTGAAGGCCTTGGGGCTCAGTTTTGCAGCTCAAGACCCACGAAAGAGCGAGGTGACCGATCTTGACATATGCTAGAACTCGCTCGGTATATCAGGGTTCCCTGCACTGATCACCCAAACCTTCGAAGCACAGGCAGGGCATCAAACATGGCATGCAAGACATCGGCGCCCAGAGCGTTGATCAGCTGCAGTCCATGCTGCAGGACGCTTCGGGCTCTTGTACGGATCCCTCTCCGAACCAACCATGTAGAAACGTGAAAACTTAAGGGGCCTAAATAACCTACACTATTTGGAGGGTTCCTTGCCATAAATATGGTAAGATGGGCCCCCAAACCCTATTCCACTTGTGAAGGCCCCCATGTTGAGACAAGATCATCCCCTAGGCTTTCCGGTTAGAAGTGTACTACAATATGCACCGACAAGACATGATACGCTGGTAATTTCTTTTCATATCCACTGGGGCGGTCTGGATCGACCCCGACCCCTGTAGTGGCCGACATGGTCACCATTTCGGCCACTCAGGGGTCGGGATACTTACCCAGAGGCTCCAAAGTAGTTACTTTTGGGGTTACCTTATAGGATTCTTAATATGAACCCCCAAAAGGAACTACTATGGAGCCTTAGGGTATAGTCATCCCTGACGCCGAAAACCCTGGCGCTCAATCCTAACCGCATGGACCGAAACCCAAAGGGTCCATGTACCCAAATAGTATATACTTTGGGCCCAATGTACCTATGTAGGGACTACATTAAGGCCAATGTATATACTATTTGGGTACATGGACCCTTAGGGTAAGTCATATGGACCACCAACCCGAAACCGTAAAGCTCGAAGATCCCAAACACCTCTGGATGGCCACAGTCACGGGGAGTCTGCTCAGATGGAGGCCTTAGTAATCGAACAGGGCTTTGGGTTTTGGGTTTGATGTGCATAGTGAGGCCGTGATAATTACAGTGGGCTGTCTGGCTTGGGGTTTATTACGACGCCCCGCGCCAGGGTGACAAAACGGTCCGAAACAGATGGCTGCCCTTGGACTTGGGGATTCGGAAATGCAAACCCAGCCGTGTGCACTCTCATTGGCCCCCTCAACACTCCTCCATCGGATCCCTAAACCCTAAACCCAAACCCTAATCTCTAAACCCTTAAATTCTTACCCTTAACCCTGACCCTAAACCCCAAAACCCTAACCCCTACAAGGAGGGTAAGCTCCGCTTCGAACTCCGATCTGCCGCAGCGCAGAGAGAGGGCGGCGTCCATGGCATCTCGGGCCCAAAATGTGTCAATTCGGGGACTTTGGTTTTAGCATCCAGGGGTTTAGGTTTGTAACTCAAAAGGGCTCCTTAAGGGGTTCCTTAGAGGGTTCGATAAGGGATCTATGAGGGTTTAGGGCTTTAGGTGTCTGGGACTTAGTAATTGGGGTTATAAGTAAGGTAACTACAGCTACAATAATTAAAAACCCCAGTTGACGCACTTATAACCCTACTTACTAAGTCCCATGATCCTCCAAGTAGGTTTTAGGATCCAGGTGCGTCCGGTTTGGCCCTGAAGGGCAGCTCCAACGCTGGGGATCAGATCGCACAGTTAATTTCAACCTGGAATTGATCGAGTTTCCGAGACCTTGTGGGGAGTTCCTAAACCATAAACCGTATATCCAAAGCGGCGCAGAAGGATCCTTGAAGATACTGGCCCCGGAACGGACCTCTCATTTTTCGCAAGCGCCAACACCCCCCCGCCACCACCCATTGCATGAGATCAAGAAGTGCAGGATTTCCACCCGAAGCCTGACGTTTCGCTTTCCGTTCTGCAGGTTTCATGAGGATTCCGTGCTTTCCCCACCTGGGGCCACGCCTCAAAGCCTAAGCCTCACAGCCCTTCACAATGAGCAACCTCCAGCCTGTCAGTGTTGAGCTGGAGCTGGAGAGGACATCAGGTTGAGTAATTAATATAGGGGCCTTGGTGAATAATTACCGATACTATGACTATTATGGGGTTTCCTTACTATGATTATAGTATAGTCGGCCCCAAAGCCCTATTCTAATTGTTAAGTCCCCTATAGTATGTGTGTGGCTTAGCTCATCTGGGTTCTCAGCCTAGCACATACAGCTTCGACCTCATCTCGGGTTTCTTTTGGCTTTACTTTCCGAAGCCACGAAACCATAGGGGCCTGACCAATTGCTTCGTACTATACTTACTGGAACCAAAGGCCTGCGACGATTTCTTGTGCAGGACCCTATATTGCCCTTACCCTCCGTGACATGTGTGCCCAAAGCTCCAATGTAGTAAATTACAAAGCCATCTCCGCTAGCAGGCCTTCACAGCTTTGAGCGCAAGCTCTTCGACAGCTGAGCCTACGTCCTCCAGCTGATGACCTTTTGAACGTCGGACATTATTTGACGCTTTCGTTGTTTTGGAATATTCGGGGAGTGCGTGCAGCATCGCTGGCGAAGGCTTACTTTACGAACGAAATGAACCCTAAAAGGGTTTAAGGTTCATATACCATTTAGGGTTTCATTATGGTATATGGGTATAAGGCCCGTACTTTTCAGGGTTCAGGTAATGTAGGCACCATTATGTGCGAGAGCGCACAGCAACATCAGCTTCAGTTAGATCCCACATTGAAGAAGCTGTGTGCACATGGGTTACAAGGACGCACCCGGGACCCTAAATCCTCAAATCCGACAAAGAAGAAATCTGAAGACTAATTACGAATTGCTGAGGTGCAGTCTGCTTGTTCTCTGAGTTACACGTGCCTATCGTACGTAGCAGAATTTCAACCTCCAAGACATTCGGTTTTGCTCCCAAAACTCAATTCTACTGGATGCCATTGGAGGATAGATATGGGAGTTTCCGAAAATAGGGGACCCTAATATAGTACCCTAAATAGTAGGATCCTAATTATAAGGACCCCCAAATAAGGTAGCCCCCTATTTTCGGAAACTCCCATATGAGAAGGGCCCGGAAAGCCGCTCCAAGCCAGAGCGTCGACGCAGTCAATAGGGTTTAGGGTTCCTTGTTCCTAGACGAATACCCTGGACGCCTACTTGGAGGGTCGGGGGACTTAGTAAGTGGGTAGTAAGTAGACTTATAAGTACCCTAAAAGGGACCCTAATTGGGGTTATGGTACTTATAACTCCGTAAAATAACCAGTTACTAAGTCCTCCGACCCTCCAAGTAAACCCTCTACATCCTCAGCAGAAACGTACATGCACAGTACTGATGCGGCGCTGTTTGATGTGGCGTGATGAACTGCAGTACTATAGGAGCCTTATTATAACTATAGTATAATGGGCCCCAAAACCCAGTCTCATTATTATGGCCCCTTTACCTCAACCCTAAATCTTGCAGCTGCAGCAAATCACACTCCAAGATTGAAGCCTTCTAGGCTCTAAACTCCCAAATCTCACATCCCCATGGTTTCAGCTGACTCACTCTCCGCTTTTGCCTCTACTCTTGAGACTGCCTGCCATACTCTTCCTGCGCAGCGGTCTTTGATTTCATGCGCATCTGCCTCCCGAACGCTAAATTACGAGCCTAGGGGCCCAGTTGGCCGGAGCTTGGTGGTTTAAGTGTAAGATGCCTTGAATCCTAAATTGTACAGAGAGCATGAGAGTGGATGACTGTGTTGGAAGGTCTTGAGGCGTATTCGGCGTTTTAGATTATGCGGCTGCGTTCCCTTAGATTTTAGGATTTAGGGTCTACCCTAACCCCAAATAACCTCCGACCTTTTTTGGGTTATGTGTTTTATGATTTCCAAGGTAGGTTTTTGAGGGTCCAGGAAGGATTCGGGGTCGATGGTTGCAAGGGGATTGGGAGCTGTAGCTCGAATCTCTTTGAACAAGAGTTCAGGGCTTCGGGTTCAAGAGGGTTTCGAGCTTAGGGTTTGGGGTTTAGGGCTTCGCGATCTGGGCGGTTCAGGACTGAGCTTCTTTATTGGGTTGCCTATAGTCTCGCACGTAGTGCCGGTGCCTTAGAACAATAAAGAATTCGGGTTTCGGAGTTTAGGGTTTAGGGCAGTGGCTTTTGCTGGGTTGCTTGAAAGGTAATACAAGTTGGTTACGCGGAGCCACAACGGAGACTATAGGACGGATTGACTTTCTGAACGACCCAGAAGCCTACAATGAAAGCTTGAGCCTACGACCGTGAAGAACATCGAAATTCGATCCGAACACTAAAACTATGTGATCATATACTTCCATTCACGGTAAGATGCTACCAGGGCTCGTATATACGGTTCGTGATCTAGGTTTAGCGTTTAGCAAGACGTGTTTCACTGCGCGTGCACCTTGGCGTTCAGGAGCAGAGAAGCCTCACGATTTCAGTTTCAACTTAGCTATACTCTAGAGAGTTTCACTTGCCGAAAAGGCCAGGGACTTGATCATGATCAGTGACGGAAACCGCCGGTGATAGCAAGCCGCTGTGGATCAAACTCCCTGCGTTTCGACTTCTCTCATATATATCAGCAGGTCCATACCCTGCATTGCATCACTCTGGAGGAGTGGCGCTCGCCCAGGTCTCCCAGCGGTTTTAGCTCTGCTTCGTAAGGCCTTGTAAATCCGTGACCCCAAATCTTACAGGACCAACAGCGACCTTCAGGCTTTGGCCGATAGTCTCGCTGCAGCGTTTGAGGCATGTCTTGTTCAGACCGTAAGGCTTATAGGTGTACTTATAAATATGTTCTAACTTTCGGTTCCTTTAATCCCCTGAATCTTTATTCTTTGCTACGGGTCTAAGTCCAGTATACAAGGCTCTATGGACACAGGTCTTCGTGGCAACTTTGAGCATGCGGTTCTGTTTTACAGCCTTTGGCTGTTTAATCCTAGGGTCAAGCCTGAAAAGTTGCAGGTTGCTAAACCCTACGTACTTGGAGGATCATGGGACTTAGTAAGTAGGGTTATAAGTACCCTAATTGCGGTTATAAGAAATTTTAGCTGTATTTATCTTACTTTTAGCTCAATTAGTAAGTCCCACGACCCTTTAAGCAAGCCCTATAATAACCTAAACTTGGCATTGATTCTCTCTTTTGCCGCGGGCGCTCCTTGGCATGGTCATGCGAGACTCACCCATTCAGGGAAAAAGAGTGGCGGAGGTCCAAGAATCCAAGGGTAAAAGGAGGGACCCTTAATAAGGACCCCAGGGTATATACCCTTCATATAGCTAAGATATACCCATTATAAAGCCCATTATAGGGTAGGGGTCCCCATTAAGGGTCCCTCCTTTTCCCCTTGGAAAGAAGCTGCGAAACAGGGTTTGCCTGTGAGGTTCATGGTTGATTTCCGTTTACGACAGTAGCCGAAACCCGAAACCGTAAACACGAAGCCCAACAACCCCAAACCGTAAACACCATAAGCCCTAAACCCCGAACTAGAAGTGAGCTTCGTAGATTCACGACTAGTTGTCACTAGCTTCGACCAGGGAACTAGACTGCTGACGCTCCTTGCGACCATAGAACCTGCAAGTACAAAGGGCCTAAGTTAGGATTCAGTTGAGGGTTTAGGGCACCCATAAATTAGGGTTTAGTTTATGGTTTAGGGCACCCCTAAATTAGGTTTTAGTTTATGGTAGGGCACCCCTAAATTAGGGTTTAGTTACGGGTTTCGGGTTTAGGTCTTGTTTGCCCCTCTTTTGCTACACTCAGTGCCCTTGCAAATTCTTCCGCCTCTATAGAAGCGTTTTATGGCTACCAATCGGCCACAAATCCCAAAGACTATCAAAAGAGACCCCAAACGCTTACCCCTAAACTCCCGAACTCCTAAACCCCTAACCCCTAAACCCCTAAACCCTAGACCCCCAAACTTTGATGTTTTCTGGTGCGACTGTACTGCACAAGCAGTGGCAGCAGCCTAGTTAGGAGCCGACTCGGGCAGGCGCACAAAGAAGGCTGTCAACCTAACTTAAAAATAAACCCAAACACCTAAACCCCTAAACCCGAAACCCGAAGATTACTAAACCCCTAAACCCTAAACCCTCGCAAGAGGCCGACTGCCTTGGCAGCACTGCAGGAGCACCGATGGGGGACCGTCTAGGTTGGGGTTTAAGGTTTGGGATTTGGGGTTTAGGGTCTAGGACTTTGGAGTTTAGGGTTTAGGATTTAGGGTTTAGGATTGTAGGTTTAGGTTTTAGGGTTTAACGGGGGGGACAAAAGGATGCAGGGTGTAGGGTTTGGGGGATTTTAGGGGTTGGAGTTTGTGGTTATAGGGTTTCAGGGTTAAGGGTTTTTATTTGGGTTCTGTGGATGGGAACCTAGTGACTTTGCAAGTTGATTGGTTGCGCTTGCCTGATTCTTCCCATCTGCTGCACAGCAGTGTAGCAGTCATGATGACATACAAGCAGCATTGGGGAGTTGTAGGGGCGATAGAACGTAGAACTCCGATCATCGCAGAAACCCCTAAACCCTAAACCCCTACACCCCTAAACCCCTAAACCCTAAACCTCTCAAACTCTAAAGAGCCACCTACACCCTAAACTTCAAACCTTAAACCCCTAAGCCCCTAAACCCTAAACCTCTCAAACCCTAAAGAGCCACCTACACCCTAAACTTCAAACCTTAAACCCCAAACCCTAAACCCTAAAAAGGGGACCTGGGGCGTCTCTGCAGTCTCGGTCCTTTTGAACCTTGAGCCCTATATGGGCGTTTCCGAAAATTGGGGGCTACATTTAGGGTTCCTTAAAAGGGCTACTGTCAGGATACTATAAGGGTTCGATAAAGGGGGGTAGGGTTTAGGGTTTAGAGTTTCCGAAAATTGGGGGCTACCTTATTTGGGGGTCCTGATAATAAGGATCCTACTGTTTAGGGTACTAAATTAGGGTCCCCTATTTTCGGAAACTCGCATATGGAGGAGTTTCTCGGACGCATCCACTGTCCGGTGAGTACCGATAAATGGTTGATTGGAGTTTGAACCCTTCCATGGCAAGCTGGATGAATCTGGATGATTGAGGACAAACTCCGTGACCACAACAAAGGTTCATACATCAGCGGCGGCAGTTTATTGGTTCATTGACTTCACGCCCCGCGTGGGCTCGAACCGGCCTTGACGCCATGTACATTACGCTGGCTGCTACCAGCCGCTTCTCAGTGTTCAGGAGAGAAGTGACGATATGTGCGCATTGGCTCGTGCGCTTTGCACTGGCCAGGCTGCTGCTGCGTCACCCCATTTCAGGCGGCAGGGGGGAGTTAGTCGTGCCTTGACCACGACGAAGCCCTTGGCTCTCATCGTTGCGGTCAGCTGCTACTGGCTTGCTCAAACATCATTAACCAGGTTGTTTTGAGTCGCTCATGCTCGCATTGATCGATCTATGCAAGTTGTGCATCATGCTAGGTGCCATGCTTCCTGAATGTATGTTTTTGTGAGGGGCTGGTGTAAAGGATCTTTTTTTTGTGAGGGGTGGGTGTAAAGGATTTAGCTCAACTTGAATCCAAGCAAGAGACCGTCAACCCCATTCTACTCCAGAAAATTCTTGAGGTCAATAATAAGTAAAAAAATAAGAACGTATCGTACGGCTTTGGTGGGCCTGTGGCTTCGGCGGATTTAAGTATAGTCCTAGAATACTATTAGTCCATTCTAAAGGGGACCATATTATAGAATCCTATAGTACCATTTAAAAGGGGGCCCTGTTATAGAATCTTTCAGTGCCGTTAAAGGGAGCCCCATTCCAAGTATCAAGGCCCCGTAAAGCCCATCCTGCAGGACCTGCAGCTGCTGGCAAGGAGTCAGCCCTGTACCAGCGGAAAAGCCGTGCGAGACGTTTAATGTTTAGGGTCCACTGGCGAGTGTTTTGGGCTTAATTAGGGGTCTAATTTGTTAGATTCAGGGTTCCTTGTCAGAGCCAGGTTTCCGGTTTAGGTTTAGGGTTTAGGGTTTAGGGTTTAAGGATTGCATTTTAATTTAGGTTTGGCCATGGTTGCACGTAGGCGTTTTTTTGCTTAGGCAGCAGTTAAGACGACGTTTTAACCACACAGGCCCCTACAGAGCTTCGGTTGTTTTGATTTTGGGCTGCGGAGTCGTGGCATCCGCGTTATTTAACACAAAGTCAGTATGCGACCATGACATCAATGACATTTGACACCATCCTGGATGCTTGCGATTTGTTGCTGTAATGTAACCATCTAGAACTTGAAAATTCAGGCAACGACAAGCACAGAAGCTGCTTGCCAAGATTTTGTCGGTTCTACTGTTGTTGCCATGATTCCACACCACTAACACTAAGTTACATTATACTTTAGAAGCTGCCCCCACCCTGTAATAGTGGTATAATAGGAATATAACAGGGCCCTAATATAATCCTATAAAATCCTTATAGTGACGGTGGGGGCAGCTTCTAATGTATGCTGAGCTAACCTGGATCCTCAGGGCTTGAAGCTTGGAAGACCTTGCAGTGTGGCACCCACCATATCATCCCAAAGCCAAAGCCCAAAGAACACAAGACCCTAAACCCAACCATGCTAAGCCTTGTATCCTTTTCATACTGCAGCATCTTTTTTCAGTTTACGTGGGCGTAGAGGCGCCAAGATTCGCGAGCTGCTGGGCAATGGGGTGTTTATCGGACGTAAGGTTTAAGGGCTGCCACGCTTGGGCCTTTGACTTCATGGTTTCGGGATTTTGTGGTTCAGAGTGGCAAGCTTTGTGGACGTGAGGCCGGGATTTTCAGTCGTACTTGGACTTGATTCCGATGGAACTTCGAGCTTACAGGGACCATGAAGCAGGTTGTTGATGGGTACTTGAAGCATGGGCGCGCAGTTCCTGCTCATCTTTGTTGCCTTGGGTATCATGTTTGCCAAGCCCGATTCTGAAAGAGGACTCCAACACAAACTGCGACAGCCTTACGGACCCTTCTGCAGTCCTGTCTCTCTTCTCCTTTGTCCTTATGGAAGTTCAGCGCCTCAAGCGAACCCGAGCCCGTGCTCCCATGAAAAGCTAAGCGCCTGGAAGTCGAGTCGAGTCAATGTACCACCCGATTTGGAGGATGATGGGACTTAGTAAATAGGCTTAATCGGGGTTGTAAGTTATAAGTAGTTATAAATGTAGTTACTTTACCTAAAAGCTCACTTACTCGGTGCCATGAACCTTTAAAACAACCTTAAGGCATTGAGCATCTGTACATGGAAGTGCAGATGGCGTTGACATGTCTATTCGACGAAGACAAGCATACCCCTTTGATGAAAATGTACATGCACACACTCCATCTGAATATGCATACATGGACATACACATCAACAGCCTAACAGTGTACTACGAGTATCCGTAAAATGACGGATGGTCATTTTGGGATCTAGACAATATGCACACTCAGACTCGCCAGTATCAGCATCATCACCTACTACCACTACCGCTCGCACTACCACTGCCGCTCCCACTACCACTACCACTGCCGCTACCACTACCACTGCCAAACTAGACATTAATCCAAGTTCCTTGGGCCCAATCTCGATGTACCTGGAATCCGAAGCACGGCTCAGGACAAGATGACGGGCACCAATGGAGCCAGCAAGGACCGCAGTCGATCTCCGCGGAAGGAGCCCAAGGGACGAAAGCGAGTCCTTGGTGAGATTAGGTTCAAGGGCTAGCCGGGCTTGGACATTGTGGGGTTTGGGTGTTTAGCGCGCTAAGCTTAGGGTAAACCTAGGATGGAGCCTTGTTGGCGTTGCTTCTTGAGGTCTTGAACTTCATTTAGTAGTCCGGCTGTTGGTCTCGTCAGCCTTCGGTGCTCGGTGCAGCTGTACTGTTAAAGGGAACTCCAGAAAGTTGGAATATGGTTTAATGGTAGGATCCCCTATAATTTACCATAAAGGGTTTAGGATAATCATATTCCAACTTTCTGGCTTCTACTGTTAGGGTCTTGGATTGAAGGGTTCGTTTCGGCAACAGAATGATGTTGGAGACAGCCAGTATCCGAGCAACAAGGACAACGATACAGGCAAATGCTACCCTTGCCCACAAGCCATATTGCAAAAGGCTGTCGGGCTGCAGCTAAACACCGACATGACAGCACTCAGAAGTTGGAACTATTGCCATTTTGATGTCATCAGAACGAGAAGCACAGCGCCGGCAACAAGAATGGCAAGGCAGCCAGTTTTTTACGACATAGCAGCAGCCGCAGCGGTATTTTGAAATTGGCATCTGGATTGTTCTTATTTCCGTCATTGGATACATAGTAACCCCCTAACAGGGGAAGAACGCAGTAACAGTTTGATGAACCAGAATGAAAGCAACATGTGCAATGCCCCTGGCTGCACTCGGCAGGTCGACTCATCCAAGCTCACGGAGGCTGACCTTGCAGATGGGTTGCTGGGACGACCGAGGCTCAAGGTCAATACGGTTCAGGGTTATATACGGGTGTTTAGGGATTTAGTTCGGGATTGAGGGACCAGGGTTTAGGTTTTAGGCAAAGGCTTAAGGCTGAGGGTGCATGGGCTTCGACTTAGAATTCAGGGTTTTGGGTTCAGGGGGCAGAGGCCTTACATTGAGAGTTCCGGGTCGGTTTTAGGGATTTTAGGGTGTATCTTTAGTCCGCAACCCCATCTAATAAGGCATCTATAAGGGATCTATAAGGGTACTGTAATACACTATAACTATAAGAAGGAATACCCCCAGAATAGTATCGGTAATAATTTGTGCCCATACTTCTACTGATTAAGGCCCCTATAGTATAGTAGCCTTATAGATCCCTTATAGTATGCGTTATATATAGAGCCCTTTAAAGGGAGCCCTATATACTTCTACTTATAAAGGCCCCAAAAGTAATCACCATGGCGTGATGGAGCTCAGGTTCTCTGCCTCTGAGATTTTCGGCTCCAAAACTGCGATGAGCAGCTGGTTCAATGAGGGTTTGTTTGGGCTGGCTTCCTTAAGGCTCAGCTCCAGGAGGGAGCTCTCCGTGAAGTCACGGCATAAAGTCGGGGTGGCTTCCCTAAGGGTTTTGGTTGGGGCCTTATGGAGGATTTTAAGGGCCTGGTACCGGTTTTGTACAGGCTTTTTGCGGCTGTATCCCTTGACCAAGCGACCCTTTAAGTTCAAGTCCTAACCCCAATGGCCTAGACTCCTAGACATCTCAAAGACCGGAGCTTGAGTAGTTACCAGTAGTAGCAAGCTTCCTTTGATAGTCCCTATATGTTTGAACCCGTTCCAGTACTGACGGCTGCGAAGTTGCAGCGCCTCAGCACAGGTTGAATCCGCTTAATTAGCCAAGAAGTGCTCTTCACCCAGAGGGTCCATATACTACCATTATAGAATTAGGTCTCAAAAGACCACCCTATTCTGGTTTTTGGACCTAATTCCGCAATAGCAGTGTGTATGGACCCTTAGGGCCATGTGCCTACAAGCTCAACCCCAAACCCTAAACCCTTAATCCCTAAACCCTAAACCCCTAAACCCTAAACCCTAGACCAAGGCACTGATGTCAGAGAAAAGGTGCCTGAGCTCCCTAGCGGCCAAACACTGGACCCGAAGTACCGATAAAGACATGGGTGGTTGACAAAATGGGGGTCCCTTTTGGGGTCCCTACTCTAATACGGCACCCATTATACTTAGGGTACCCAAAAAGGGACCTTGATTTTGAGAACTATCCACATGAACACTGTAGTAGAGGCACTTTGGGAGTCTGGCTTACACGTTTTGGAGGGTGAAGCTGAGGGCAGCTTTCTAGGCTTCTCTAAAGGTAGCTGGCGTCAAAGGCTAGTTTGGATGATGACGGACCCGGTTTTCGGGTGACTCTCATCCAAGGGTAAAAGGACGGACCCTTAATAAGGACCCCTAGGTATATACCCTAATATAGCTATTATATACCCATGATATAGCCCATTATAGGGTAGGGGTCCCCATTAAGGGTCCCTCCTTTTCCCCTTTGATCTCAGGTGGATACACCTACGACGATCTCATCTGCCTTCCCGGACATATCAACTTCGGAGTTCACGATGTGGCGCTGGGCTCGCGATTCACAAAGAAGAGGCTTTGCCGTGATTGGTGCACCTGAGCCCCAAACCACAAGGAGCCCACACAAACCTGCAGCTGCACACCATAGTTAGTTTTTCTTACGGCTAACACAAATTATGACGGTTATTACCATTACTGGTAGGGTACTAGTACACTCAGGCTGCGGAGTTACATGGAGTTACAGATGTTGCACTTATCGGAGCTGTCAACCATAACTCACCGAAGGACGAGTTCAGGCCTCTCATCGGAGACATGCATTGCTCACATGTGGGAACTGTCATTTCTCACTAGACGCTCGGAGGTATCGCTTGAAGGGGGGGGTAACGAAGCCATGGTGCAATCTATATGATAGCAACCCTTATAGATCCCTTTAAAGGAACCCTTATAGGTCCCTTTAAAGGAACCCTACTCTAATTATAAAGGGCCCCCTATATCTGAAAGTGCTGGAGAGTTCACCAGCCTCAGGCTACCGAACCTCGCAGTTCACCCATAGGCTCCATTGTAGTTCCTTTTTGTGGTTTATATGAGGGTTTCCGAAAATCTTGTAGTTCCTTCTTTTGTGGTTTATATGAGGGTTTCCGAAAATTAGGGGTACCTTATTCTGGGGTCCTGATATTGATCCTACTATTTAGGGTACTATATTAGGGTCCCCTATTGGCGGAAACTCCCAGAGTTCCCAGAGGGTCCAAGTACTCCCTACTGTAGGACTTTAGGGCTTTTTTAGGTACCAAAAACCATAAATAAGGACTACTTGGACCCTAAGGGTCTAGGATCCTATAAGGTAATCCCCAAAAAGGAACTACTCTGGAGCCTATGGGTATAATACCACGAAATGAAGTTGCCACGCCTGCTTCGGGCCTTCGAAGGCTGCGGCTAAGAGTCCCCCAGGACACCGGCCTTGAAACGCGAAAAAGGCCTTGGGGCTGTTTTGAGCCGTTCTTGGAAGGGCAGGGGACTTAGTAAGTAGGTTATAAGTAGGGTTATAATTGGGGTAACTCCATTTAGGGTACTTATAACTCTATTTATAACCTACTTACTAAGTCCCCTGCCCCTCCAAGTAAGGACCATTTTTGGAGTTTCGGGCTTTAGGTAATGCAGCTTCCCTAAGGACTAAGAGCCGGACAACCGAAACTGGGTCTGAGGATCGCGCTGAAGACGCCCATCGTTTCCAGCCCCATGGACACTGTTACGGAGTCGAACATGGCCATCGCAATGGCTTTGGAGACTTGCTGCATGGGCAAAGGGTGGTGGTGGTGGTGGTGGTGGTGGTGGTGGTGGTGGTGGTGGTGGTGGTGGTGGTGGTGGTAGAAGAAGCAACATAAAATAGGTAGCATCATCAGCACTAGCAGTAGGTGTAAGAGCAGTGCTGGTAGAACTGAGTAGTAGGAGAGGTGACGGTGGTGTAGCGTAGTCGTCGTAGTCGTTGTTGTAGTCGCAGCCGTACAAGACATGGCAGTAGCAGTCGCCGTGGAAGGCGGTACCAGTCTACTCGTCTTGGCGACTGTAGCTGGCCGTAGTAGCAGTAGTAGAAGTGCTCTTACCTGAGGACAAGTCATAGCGTAGGACTTAGGCTTCTGGGAGGACGTGTATTCCGAATCTTTCCCAAGAGTCCAGACTAGGATAGAGTCTCTTCTTCCTAGGAGGGCGGCATTGGCGTGATCCACACCAATCTTCCCATCGAGACACAGGCGACTATTTCATGTACAGGGCTTGATATTCAAGTTTGCAGCCGTCCTTCGCGACAGAAGCCCCGAATTTGGAAGATGCAAAATACAAGCAACTTACTATAATCATGGACTAAGGTAGGAAGTTCCGTAGCTTGCCAAACCCCCCACTTTAATTGGCCCGTGCTTTCAGAAAAGAATGGTCTTCAGGGTTCAGGGGTTAAGGCTTTCTTGGGGCCCTGTTGCAAGTTGCTGGGGAATAGGAGATTCAGCGTAAGAAGTTCGAGGGAGGCCCGATTTGGACAGCTCTTCGACCCATCGAAAACCTGTACGTTCCTGTTCGCATGATCTAGGATCCAAGCATCCTTAAGTTCCGTTTCACTCTGCCGACCCGGCTCACGGAAGCTAGAATCACCAAATCTGCAAGGTTCGTTGTTAATAGGATTGTTTTTTATTCTAACTAGTTGTTGCAATTACTATTGTTGAATTTTGTGTTATTGTTATTATTGTTCCGAGCCCAGCCTAAAAACCGTAGCCTAAGCCCATGGCAGTAAGAAAGAAAAGCAGCCTTGAAACAAACACATGAGTGGTTGTCAAAATCATGGTCCCTTTTTGGGTCCTAAATATAACACGGCAGCTAATATTGAGGGTACCCAAAAGGGGAACCTAATTTTGACAACCACCCAGATGCTGAAAACCCAAAGCCCGATGTAAGCCACAAGCCACCCTCCATGCCAACCTCAACCCTAAAGCCGTGAAGACCCGAAAACTTCAATCCCTAAAATCTTCAAGCCCTTGAAGCCCTACGTAAAGCACCAACATCCCAAAGGCCTGGAAACCCTAAAGCCCGAATAGAACCCTTACCAAGTCCATATATATATATATACATACATTACTATTATGAAATCAGGCCCCTCAAAACCATGGCAGTATATACCCTAAGCCTCAAAACCCTCTAAAGGTTAAACCTTCAAAACCCCCTAAACCCTAAACCCTCAAAGCCCTAAGCCCTAAACCCTAAAAGCCCTATAAGTCCTAAAGCCCGAATAGAACCCTTACCGCTGATATTCCTTCTTGCCTGCGTTTCGTCAGGCTGCAGAGGTGGCTCGAGTCAAGAAGTATAAGGCTCCCCCGCGGTGATTGATTTTTGGGGCCTCTCAGGGTTTATACAGGGCTTAGGAGTATGTAAGTTGTTTAGGGTTAGATGCCAACATACCCTTGCAGTACTTACTGTGGATACATAACAAAGGGTCTGCTACTCAAAGCCCAAAGGCACTGATCCGTGTTTTCACATTTGCAACTACCTGCAGTGAGAGACCGACAGGGCGGGAGGCAGAGCGAGAAGCACCAAAGCATGGCAAGCTTCACCCCCAACCCTTAACCAGCCGTCCGTAGTTCCAATGTTATCGAAGGCCTGCTGTTACCAGCCTTGAATCCACCTGTTGCCTTGAAGCTTGATCCCTTCGGGGTTTAGGGTTCAGGGAAAGATCCCTAAGCCCTACTTGGAGGATCACGGGACTTAGTCTTTAAGGTTATGAGTACCTTGATTGGGGCTATGAGGAGTTATATCTGCGGTTACCTTACTTGTAATTATAAGTTATTGTCCTAGTCACTAAGTCCCACGATCCTTCAAGTAGCACCTTTCATGCAACACCCTTCCAAGGCATCAGAAGCTCCCAGCTTCGCCTAATATGTTCTCCTTCCCCAATGTTGAGCAGAGTTTCGTTAGGGCAAGCAAGGCTTCTCAGTTTAGGTGCTTTAGGGCTCAACTAAGGACTCTAGTAGGCTTTGCGCTTTTGGTTTTTAGAACGATTTATGGTGGACCTGCTGCAAAGACCAGGCGGGCTTCATTTTGGAGCCTCGCTGCGTGCCACCCACCATGACCGTCGAGGATCTGGACAAGCTGAAGAGTAGCTTGCACTGACACTTTAGTGAAGAAGGATTCCATTAGGATTCCATGCAGGGTTTAGGGTTTAGGGTTCAAGTGATTTGTTATCAAAGCAGTATTTCCAGCACCGCTCTCTCGGCCGTGCGATCTGTTAGTATAAGATTGTTGCTTGACTGTGTCTTGCCATGCGCACCTCCTGGGATCCAACAGGGCACGTGATCCTAATCCTCTTGGCTGTATCAAAACGCAGGGTCCCAAATCCGGGTTCGCGAGCCGCAAGACAGTGCTTAGCCCTTCTTTCCGAGCTCGGTGTACAACATATGTACGTACCCCTAAGCCCTAAACCTTGGGTCTTAGGCCGGATCACTTAACTGAAGGGAGCCTCTCTAGTACCCCTGGATTATCTGACCCTTTACACCCATGTCCTTGGGCATCCTGCTACACCACATCCCCACCTCCTGGGTGCCATTGTTTTGGCTGCTGTGCGATATAAGCCCAAAGCCTACGATTTCGAGCGAATGCGAACGTGCGAATGCGAACGCGCGAAGCGCGAGGCCTTTATATATCCCTATAAACCCTAAACCATATATATCCCTATAAACCCTAAACCACTTGAGCCCTAAAGCGTAAGCCCCGAAACCTTAGGCACGCTCGGCTTCACCGGCTTCCCGGTGACGGAGAATGGTCAGATGGGGGCCAAACTTCTCGGCCTGGCGACTCATCAAGAATAATTGTCCTTTGAAAGGGGTTCTTGGTGGGCTCTACAACAACGGCTAATCACTATAAGATATAGGTTAGAAGGGCCCCCCACCCTGTAATAGTGACAAAAAGGACTATATTAGGGCCCTATTATATTCCTATAATATCACTATTACAGGGTGGGGGCCCCTTCTGAGGTATAGGGACTCATCTTCGGTGGGTGTTGGGTTTAGATTTTGACGAAGTTGCCTTTTTCACGGGTTCTATCGGGGCTCTATAATTGCGGCTTTCTATGATGTTGGGTCTGCCTTAGACTTTATAAACCTGGTGAAGGAAGGGTTCGAGAGGGGTTTTATCCAAGGGGCTTTCAAAGTGTTGCATGGGGCTTGAAGGGTTCTGAAGGGGTTGAGCTTTTGGGCTCTGTACCTACGTTTTTTTTGCCAGCAGGCCTTTTTGGGTTTTGTACATTGCAAAGTTCGCATCCTGTGGTACTTCGGGCCTTACATCCTTAAGCCTTATCATCAAACCGTTGTTAGAGGTTGGGTTCTCTAGACTCTGGGGCATTTATCTGCGTGACCGGCTTCAAGTGGCATTTACTGGCATGATGGTCTTGTGCAGAATAATGTACCCCTGTAAATCCTGTCTGATTATAGAGTAGCTATTAATTTAAAAAATGTGTTGCATGTGAACGATGCTTGGGCGTCTGGAGTGCGTCAAGACACCGTTTTGTGGATGCTTTGCGTTTGACTGGTGAGCTTCAGGGTCATGGGGTTTAGGGTTCCGGTATCAAGCTTTGAGGCTTTCTAGTACCGATTCGAGCTTAGCGGCCAGCGATATCTTCTACAAGGTCGTTTGGGCTGAGTCTCCGAAATATTTTCTTAGATCGCCCCAGCATTGTATGTTGATGCAGATGAGCCATACTCAAAGGATCATTGGACTTAGTAATTGGGGTTATGACTAAGGTTTCTACACTTATAAGTACTTATAACCCCAACTAAGGTACTTATAACCCTACTTCCTAAGTCCCATGATCCTCCAAGTAATTGACCAGAGACCGACACCCATGCTAAGGTGACCAAGCGGGACACTGACTTCATCGTCGAGCCTTGGCTGTTGTGTTGTGTGAAATAGGTGTTCGGTTTTAAGAACACCCTGGAAGCAGATATTTCACGATAGGCTGGTTTTTAGGATCTTTGCCCGTTGATACTCGTGTATACCGTCCCGGTTTTGTTCACCTATCGGCCAGATGAAATTTGAACCTGTTGAACAGAAGTTCCTTGTTGCATGATTGTTTCGAGGCTTAAGGTTTTAGGGCTCAGGCACTGCATTGCGAAATTCGCCGGCTCATAGTTTGTGATTCCAAACCGACGAGTACTTATCTGCAAGAGTCAGCTCAGGTGTGTGGTTGTTCAGTATTTTGAGCGGCCTCCAGATCAAAGCCTGCAGTGGTAACAGCATCCCCTCGCAGTCCTTGCTTCACAAGACTACAACAGCAGTAACAGTAATGACAGCGGTACTATAGTTTCCCCTAAACTCTACACCCTGCTTGAATTCCGCCAGTGGTCCACGAAGCTTTTGGAGCTCTGTACAGACGAGGCTTTCGGGGTTCTACTAACCTGCTAGGATGCAGTTTAAAAGCTCACAGAAGATAGACTCAACTTCATGTTGAGGCTTGGGTTTAGTTTTTGAGGCCTTGGCTAAGACTTTGGGTTTGCGGTGTGGGGACAGGTTTAGGGTTTAGGAGCCCTGCCTACAGTAACCAAGGCATATACCTTAAATAAGGCGGTAAAGGTACCAATGTTGTAGTGTCATATTTTCCAAGGCAATTACATGGCTTGCTGTAGGTAAACCTTAAACCTGCAAGGACCGCAAGACCCGCCTCAGCGAAATCATGACCCCGGCTGCAAGCCTGGCGGCTTGGACACTTTTTTGTCCGGGTCCTTGCGATCATGGTCTTACCATTTTTTGAGGGGCCGAGAATTTTGTTTAGGACCATTGCTATTCTTATTATGTGCAGTTGCGAGATGAAAGCAGGAGGTCCAATTCTGCGACTGATCAATTATGCCCTGGGTTGCAATACCTAGGCGTCTTGTGACTGTGAGTCCATGGGTTCATCCTCTTCCGAGGAACTTGTCTACCAGCCCCGGCAACCCTAAACCCTAAACTCCTTTCAAACTCGCTGAAGCCTTGTTTGGAGCGCATAGACCAAGCCCTTCGTCCCAAACCCTCAACCACAACCAGCTAAGCCCCGTCCACACCCTTGGAGGCCTCAAGCCTAATCCCTACAGCCCTTAACCCAAAAGCTTATTAAAGCTCTAAACAATGAACCGCCAAAGTCGACCGTCTAATCCTCAAACCACCCTAGGGTTCATAGGGCTGAGTGTGAATCCCAGTTTCGATTGGTCACTTTAGGCAGAATGCTCCCATAACTCAGGGCGACAAAAGTGTCAGTCGTGAGCCTTTGGGAAAGGCAACGAGAACTCCTACAGAAACGAATCCAGCGCACCGAAAAGCCGGACCCACAGATCGAACTCCCCCTAAAGAGAACTCCAGAAAGTTGGAATATGGTTTCAGGGTAGGATACCCTATATTTTACCATAAAGGGTTTAGGAGAATCATATTCCAACTTTCTGGCTTTTACTTTAAACCCTAAAGCTTAGACCCCAAACCCTGGACGCTGAAACGCAAGACATCACCTAGGATCTCCAGTAGTACCCTTATTCCCTTTTTGTAGTCCTAGGTTCCTTATAAAGTTACCCAATACCAAAAAGAGAGGCCTTTTTATTCTTAGGTTACTGGGTATCCTAGAAGACATCACCGAAGAAACGGCACCGGCGCCGCTTTCAGGTGACGATGTACGAAGGCTGCGACCTCCTTGAGGCCAAACCTCAAGAGGGTTTAGGGTTTAGGGTTGAGGGTTTAGGGTTTAGGGTTTAAGGGTGTAGGGTTTAGGGTTTAGGGTTTAAGGGTTTAGGGTTTAGGGGTTTAGGGTTTAGGGTTTAGGGGTTTAGGGTTTAGAGTTTAGGGTTTAGGGGTTTAGGGTTTAGGGTTTAGGGTTTAGGGTTTAAACCCTAGGGTTTAGGGTTTAGGGTTTAGGGGTTTAGGGTTTAGGGTTTAGGGGTTTAGGAGATTTACCTATAGTCTCCATGGTAGGTCCTTTTTTTGGTTACCAGTTTTATGGTCAGGATCTTATGACTTAACATTGGCATTCCAATAAATGAACTACAATGGAGACTAAAGGTAGGGTTTAGGACCTCGCCTCAAAGGCACCCAATCATTATGCTTTATTGTGTTTGCGGCTTCTTTGGGCTTCAGAGTTCCTATAGTATACAAACGGGTTGCCGGTGGTTGCAAGGGCATTGCCTTCAGGTTTTCGAAGCTTCCGGATGTCTATCGATCAACGACCTGACCCCGAAACTGCAGCAACACTGTCAAAGCCGGATATAGCCGAAGATGTTGTTTGTCTCAAGAACCTTGCGAGCTTGCCGTCCAGATGCATGCATCTTGACAACAAGGCCCTTACTATAAAGGTGGCTATTTGGGTCCAAAAGAAAAGCTGTAAACACCACCACCCAAAATTGTTGTGTTGGTGTTAGGGAGCGTGAAGGGCATTAACAGACAATATGTTAATTCCGAAATTCCCATTTATTGCAGGATTGATGGTTTAGGGCCGTATCATATGGAGCAGTATTCACAGTTTATGGACACTACTGCATACTGAACAGCCTGCACCGACCAGTGGCAAGGCCGAGACCGCCGGAAATGTAACTGCTAGTAGTTGCAAGTGTCACCTTTTATGGTGTAGGGTTTAGGCCTTTTTTGGTGTAGTTTGGTTTTAGGGTTAAGGGCTAAGGGTCTAGGTGCTTGCCAACTTCTTTGTATGCCGGAATGCCTCTGTAATGCACGAAAGCTTCACGAAGATCGTTTCATCGCTGCTGCGAGGCCAACGCAGCGCTACAGAAGTCGAAGAAGGGCAAGCGGCACGGCTAATGATACTTTGAAGTCGCTGGCCACGTGAAGTCTCTGCTTTGGCCGTAGCTGCAATGTGTACTACTAGTTCTACTACTGCTGTTGCTGCTCCTGTTGCTACAGCTACTGCTACAGCTACTCCTACTAGCAGTACCACTACTACATCCACTTCTACTACAATTACTACGACGACTACTGCTACTGCTACTACTAGGAGTACTACGACGACGACGACGACGACTACGACTACCACTACTACTACTACTACTACTACTACTACTACTACTACTACCACTACTACTTCCACGACGACGACTAGTTCCTGTTACCTGCTAGTTAGTGCTACTCCCATTCCCCCCTCCCCCTTCCTCGCTCCTCCTCCTCCTCCTCCTCCTCCTCCTCCTCCTCCTCAACGAGGACCAAAAGTGGCAGTAATCATGAGACGAAGAAGACGAATAGTAGCAGTGGTTATGATACGAGTAAGTAGCTCGACAAACGCCACATGCCCTAAACCCTAAACCGATGCAGAGGCTGCCAATTACTACGAAGAGTGGTCTCCTCATAGCTTTGGTGGCTCGTTGCCTGGCCTGAGTGCTCTGGTGTTCTACGGTTGATGATATAAATCCTGCATTACCCATATTTTGAGTATACCATAATTCCCATTGTTTTGGGGTCCTGAAGGCAATGCAGGATTCATATCATCAACCGTAGTTGTCTGGGAGGTTTCTAGCTCACTAAACTCTAAACCCCAAAACTGTAAGCACTAAACTCTGAAACCGTGAAAACACCTAAACCACAAAACCCTGTAAACCCTAAACGTTTGAACCATAAGGGAGCTTCCGAAAATAGGGGACCCTAATATAGTATTTATCTAAACACTAGGATCCCTATATAAGGACTCGAAAATACGATACACCGAATTTTGGAAACTCCCATGTATAAGCATCTTCTTACTGTTTTGTTTGTGAGGTTTCCTAGGCCTGGCACAGGCTTTCTTCTCTTTCATTCGAGGGGTGGTTCTACGAGCTCTGGGAGTTTTATCAGGTTCTGGAAGGTTTCTATGCATGTTCAGGGTTTATGGTCTAGGGGCAATGGTTGGGAATGTCCGTTTTTCGGGTTCTGTGGGTTTCAGGCTGAAGTATTCAGGGCTTTGGGTTTCAGGGTTGAGGGTTCAAGGTCTGAGGCTTCATTCTGACGATATGGACACCGTTTTTGGGAATTGAGCAATTGAACGATTGGATTTTACTGTCTACTGGCATTGCTGTTTGTGGTGGGCTTTCGGCCTGTGTCCAAGGAACTGACATCAAGAAGAACGTGGACTTCCCGAATGCCACCAAGCATCCCGTGAACAAGGCCCCAAGCCGGACACGACTGACTGCAGGTTCGGTTTATGGCAATCTTGCTCCTTTTCCAAGAGATGATACAGGTTCTGCAAGGCTTGGCATGTAAGGTCCCTTCAAGGAGTAGATGATGCTCCCTAAGGAGCAGCACCTGAAACCCTTAGCTCCGAAAAAGGCCTGAAACACTGAACCCTGACAGTTTCATGTAGAGGCCTCAAAAATTTCCTATACGATTGCGGCGGTTCCTTATTACACTTATTGCAAACCCTTCTCTGATTTTTTAAGGCCCCTATACTAAATCCTTATGATAGCCCTTACCTTATAGTAATCCTTAGAGATCCCTTTCAAGGAACCCTATTCTAATTATTAAGGTCCTGTCAGGGTTCATAGGTTTTGGGGATCCTTCCAGGAGCTACTCGTGGCCGCCGCGATCGGCACACGACCAGCGGATCGTGAACGCGTAAAGGACCCGAGTGGCTTAGGGTTGAGAAACCCTAGCATTTTGGAGGTAGATTCAGGCTTTGGGGCTGAGTGGCCCATGTGATGGACGCATGCATAGCCTAGGCTTCTTACGCCTTTTGGTTGTTTGTCTTTTCAGCGCGGCAGTGACGCCGAGGGATCTTTTTGCATCAGGTGTCGGCGCACCCACCTGCAATTTTCAGAGCTTCACAGTTAAACCGGAGTGTTTCAATCCCTTCTCGCAGTGTTGGAGTGATTGTTTCTGATGTGTCTTCAGGCATTTCGACGATGAAGAGGTAACATAGCTCGCCGCATAGTTAAAACCCATGTGCCAATGTGCTAGTTCTGTTCCCGAGTGGTAGCTTACTTCCTGTCACTGGGGTTGTGACTCCACTTGATGGTGGTCTCGTCGTCGTAAGCTGTGTCATGTGTTTCTCTGCAAGATGTGAACCTCCAAGTCCTCCATACCAACAGAACCTAGAAGCAGCCTGTTGACACCGCAGTCCTGCGTTTTCGAAGACATGTGTCAGAGGCTCTGGTTGCGGCCGGCGTGGATGCTGTTGTCATTGACAGCAGCCAGGGAGACAGCGTGCCACCCCGACGCAAATAAGAGCCAGAATAATTGCCGATGTGAACCCCTACACTTTAGACACTTCATAAGCTGCATACCACCCTGCCCCTCAAGCCCCATGCTGTGAGAACCCCAAACCCTAAACTCCCTACGTAAACCCCGAAACTTCAGACCGGCAATTTCAGAGTTTCAGCCTCCATGGTCTCATTCCTTTTAGCCAGCTTTGTTGTTGAATCTGGGGCGGCTGTTCTATTTTATGGGTTTAGCTCATGGTTCAGTGTCGTTTCAAGGTATATAATCATATCAAGTACGGCTCTTGTTTGAAGTTTGATCCTTTCCAGGAAGAAATGATGATTAATATAGAAATCTAAAGATTTTGTTCCCGGTAAGATTGATTAAGCCGTTCGTAGTCCGTGGACAGTCATACTATAGTACGATCCAAACCCTAGCCTCATTCTTCAGACTTGTGGTATGTGACAAGTTAGTTTCAGAGCCCGTGTTGAAATAGCATGCCCAGGACCTCGACGAGGAAAGGGGCTTATCATGGGTTCAGACTTTGGGGTGTATCTTTACATAGATATACAGATAACAGAAAAACTTTATAATGTATTAAGATAGAAGAGATAACTTTTGAAGAACCTTGGCCAGAAGAGAGGTTTCAGCACGACATGATCAAGTGGATCAAGTCCCAGTTCCCCGATTTGCAGGCACGTGGTGCTTGCAGAGGTGTGTGCTTCATAAGTGATCTGTTTAGGTGGTGTGGCTGCTAAGCCTGATGCATTTCGGGAGCTGCACTTCGGGGCTGTGTATGTTTCATGTGACATCCCAACCCTTTTCATCGTTGTCTTCCGGGACGAGAGTTTGGGCATGAGTCCGATTTTGGTGCCTGGGTCGGTTCAGCGCAGAACATGCGGAGGTAGAGGGAAAAATCCTAAACCTATAACCCCAAAGCCCAAGGCCAAACCCAAAGTTTTGGCAGTCTAAGGCCTAGCCCCGGATCATGCATCCTTCTTGGACTTTCCCCGTGATTCGGTAGATGAGAAGGAGCCTAGTGGATCACTGTAAGAAGCCTTTTGGAATACCTGCAGCCTCGGGGTGGCCCTGAACTCCGGATGCAACATTCTACCCTGCACCGCGTCACCAGAATGACATGCGTCGAAGTGCAACGACGCTGGACATCAGTGAAACTGCCATACCCCTGTAAAAAATGTACTCAAGATGCCAAGCCACGAATACCAAACCCTATAGAGCCTCAACCACCATGAAACACAGCACATCTCTGGAGGTTGTGGCGGGCAACGTGGTGACGAAGAAGCAGGCCCAAAACCTCATTGAGTGCCTCGGAGCCACACAGGATTCCTTGCAACATGGGTAATGTAGGAACCTGATTAAGAAGCCTTGGGCCTTTATTAGGGTTCCTTATATGAATCCTACTATTTTGGGGTTATAGGCCCAGGATTTCTTAATCAGGTTCCTACATTAAAGTTTTACAGGGTTCAGAGGGTGGTCTTATGTGTTCACTCAGAGTGTGAAGCATCGCTGAGCCCTGTCTTCTGCATGAGAATTTGAGCGCTCACCTGAGGGACAAGCAGCATTCAAAAGAAGAAGTGTGGTCTTAGAAAACGTAGGGAACCAAGATCTATAATCCCAGATGGCAAAAATCAAGCCTTACCTCAAGACACCTTACGGTACTTTTCGTTGTTGTCATTCTTCTGGTTCGGCGTCAGACCCTTACGGTGAAAATTTGCAGGTTATGTTCTAATATGTAGTATACTCGTGATGTTCAATCTGCGGGATTTCGTCCATCAGCAGTACCATGGGCAACCCAAGCTGTCTGAGCTTCAGCCGGCTATCTCCAAACCCCAAAGCCTAGGCTTGAGATTTAGGATTTTAAGGTAGGTCTCGCATTCATTCCACTTTGACAGGAGACGACTGCAGGGTAGTTTAGGGATGCGGACGAGGCTCTTTGGGCGTTCAATCTTGGCTGGTTGCTGTCAAACTAACGGCCTGCAACAAAAAGGTGCGGCGCAGATGCTCTGCGTGTTGGCATGGGAATCGGCTCCATCTGCACCACCCAGGCCTGTCTGGCGCGATGGGAAGAGGTTGCTACTTGTAGAGCTTTCCGGGGCGACTTTGCTTGGTTTTCGCCTCTGATGTCCTTAATTTCTGTACACTCAGGGCTTCTTTTCTTTTGCGGGTTACTATCTCCAATGCTCGTTTGAGTAGTGATAAAGGCCTTAGAGCCGTAGGGAGGGACAAAGGAGTCTGTGTAGCCGCATAAGGTCTCCATCTAGCTATGTCCATTTAGGATCATTTAGGTCTTATTTAAGTAACATATAGGCCGGAGCTCTAGTGAATCGCTTTCCCATCATTGATAGTTCGTAGTTCCCCATATCCACCCGGACGATCTAGGCTCCCACCCACGTGTTTTGGGGGGTTTCGGAGCTTTTGGAGGTTTTGGGGCTTACGGTTCAGTAGCCTGGTTCAAGCTCGCAAACTCAATGATTACCCTCTACCTGGCCTCAGGAGGTGTGCGCCTGCGGTCGTGCGCAGGCATCTGCAGTCTACAATGTCGCCAGGGCTGCAATGAGCTGGGTGCATTTTTTTGTCGGTCGCTTTGGGTCCTATGTTTGCGGATTTGTGGTTTAAGGGCACTTGGGCTTGAGGGTCAGGTCCTGCGCATGGGGATTCCGAGTTGCAGACCCCACCACGTTCAGAAGGTGTTGTCTGTGAACAGGCTTTTGCCAACAGGTTTAATTAGTGATATTGAAGGGTTTGTCTAAACCCTACACCCCTGAACCCTTTTTTTCAGAGTGAGAGTAGGGCACCGGGACTTGTGCTCAACGGTATGCTTAGAGTTGACCGACCTGAACGAAGGTATACGCAAAAAGCCCACATGCCCATGTAGTATAATAACACTTATACCAGTGGTAGTTGCAGTAATGATAACCATGCAACAATAACAATGACAAGTCTTAGCTCCACGGGAACAGGGATTCTTAGGGTTCTTCTTTGGCTCCCGGCTTTCTACACTTAGGCGATCCTTTCACCGTTTCGCGTGCAGACTGCTTGTTGTGTTTTAGATTTGTTTTTCTCAACCTGCCAATGTGCCGTTTGAGAACTCCTACATGTCGACTATGATGCACTTGTTTTAACTTTAGCGGGCTTATTGCCGACAGAGGACCCAACCTGAACGCTAAACCCGTGTTTTCGGACAGAAACACTACAGTAATTGCGAGGCGGCTTCCCCCTGATGCTACGGTTTAGGATCTAGGAGTATCGGTTTTCGGGCGTTAGGGATTGAGGATTTACGGCTTCAGGTTCTAGGATTTCGAGTTGAAACGTTCAAGCCTAGAGCCTAAACCCTCATCCGAAGGTGGCAAAGCTGGCAAGATTGTACGGCGTGCCGATTCTTGCTGATGGTGGCATCTCCAGCCCAGGCCGCGATGAGTGAATAGGGTTGCGTGTTTTTTGTCCTCTGTGTTTCCGTGGTTTAGTAATTTAGTATATTGTGTCCAGAGTTCGGATGAAAGCTTGTTTGATCATGGTATCGTCATTCTGGAGTCATCCTCCTGTACATACACTCTGAAAGAAGACCCCAAACCCTAAACCTAAAGTAAAACCCTAAACCCCTAAACCCTAAACTTTAGATCCTAAGCCCTATAGACCCAAAAGAAGACCCCCCCCCCCCGCCCCGCCCTTCCCAGAGCCTCCAAAACCCCTTAATTAAGGAACATACCTTAAATTATAATAGGATCCCTAATATGATTTAAGGTACATTCCTTAATTAAGGGGTTTTGGAGTCTCTGGGTCTATAGAGGCTTTCAGAGCTAGAGACCCAGAGAGCCCAATACCCCTTAATTAAGGAATATAGCTTACATCATAATATGAAGCCCTATATAATATATGGTTGAAGAGGTCACATCGTCAAGGCGCTGAGCTTGGGTGCCGGCGCTGCCATGTGCGGTCACTCGGCCGAGAGGAGCTTCCAACTGTTCTTGGTCTCGAGGTGCAGCGCTTACTGTGGGGGCCGTAATAGTTACCCATACTATTTTCGGAGTTCCTTATTATGACTATAGTATAACGGGCGCCAAAACCCTATTCTATTATATATTAGTAGGGTTGTGCTTTGATGGTCTAGTTTGTGCGATGTTGTTTTCTGAAGTGCAAGCCTCAGGATTTTCGTCGAAGTGGCAGGGTTTTGAGTTCAGGGCTCACGAACCCTCGACAACCTCGAGCCGAGCCTGCAGCTCATACGTATACTAGGTAGGGCTTTGGGACATTTTACATATTTCGCTTATTGGGCTTAAGAGGATCTTATATATGCTAATATTTTTCAAAAGCTTCAAAAGCCCCACCTAGTATATGATTGCCACATGCAGTTGCCACTCTGATGCCCATGTCCCGAAGCCAATACCTAGGAACCCTGAACTCTAAAATCTGCAACACCGAGACCACAGGTCAGAAATAGTCATTAGACTTGAGCTGAAAGCTTGAAGCATCGGCGGACTTATACCCACAGGATAACAGCATTATGGGGGCGAAAATCATTACCCATACTATTTAGGGGGAGTCCTTATTATACTTATAGGATTATAGGCCCCGAAGCCTTATTCTAATTAGTAAAGCCCCTTTAGGAGCCTGTATCCCGAATCCCTGAGCCTTATACCCCGAAACCCCAGGACTCCAGGACCTGAAGTCCCAAGTCCTGAAACCAATCCCGAGTAAATCCCCAAACTCCGAAGCTTCAAACGGAGAACCCACTCCCCCCCCCCCAAAAAAAAACACACAGACTGATCCCTAAACCCTAAACCACAAACAACAACCTAAAACTTGGTCCTTCAAATTCAGCCCAGGCAGCTTGCTAGCCGGAACTTCAGAGACTCCTGGCGAGTGCCTCGATGTAAGCGATCAGCTGTGGGGTTTAGGGATGGAGGGTGAGTAAAGGTTGAGGGCTCAGGTGCAAGGGTTTAGGGCCTCTATGTATAAATAGCAAACGTATACACACACATGTTAGTATGTGTGTATATATATATATATATGTACACACATGCTGCGTCGGTGCACATACTCATACAGTTTCTGTTTGTATGTACGTGTGTCTATGTATGTATGCATTTGTATTTATGTGTATATACATATAGAAGCGCTGTCTGACATGCATACATGCAGACATGCAGGCATACAGACATACAGACATACACCAAAGTCACTCTATCCGTCTGTCCGTCAATGCATGCATGCATGCATGCATACTTACAGTACATACACGCATACATCCACACATACACCCGCATACAGACATACACACATACATGCATGCATGCATGCATACACACATACACGCATACATGCATAAACGCACAACTGCATACAAAGACATGTAAAATAGTTCTCATATCGTTCGTTCTATTTCAGAAGCAGAGCAACTGCAGCAGCAGCAGGAGTAGGAGTGGGCGTAGGGGTAAGTAGGAGTCGGAGCAGGGGGAAGCAGTAGTAGCAGTAGTAGTCGTCGTCGTCGTAAGTAGCAGCTCGCCCTGCCTGACCAAGGTACTTCTACTCAGAGGACGGCAAAAGGCTGAAGCGATATCGCGGCATGGGCTCTATCGACGCCATGTGCCCTGGCCGGAGGTTGTCATGAGAACACCGAGCCTCATGAGACTGCGAACGTGAAGCCCTGAACGGTTTAGGTTTAGGGTTTCGCCGAACCGATTACTGTAATCTCAGCCCTGCGAAATTGAGGCCGGACGACCCCTAAGACACAAGCCTTAAAGCCTTCAATCAATGTCATGTCCACGGCTTTGCTCATCAAGTCCAACTTTCAACTTCGTGGCAGTAGAAGCATGAAGCTTGGTAGGTTTGGAGTTGTGAGGTGAGTCAACGAAGCTGAGGGTGGCTAGGGCATCGTGTCATGTAGGGGTCTTAACAATTAGAATAGGGTTTGGGGTATATTATACGATAACTATAGTAAGGAGCCCCTAAACCCTATTGTAATTATTAAGGCCCTTACATTCTGCTTTTGGACTGTAGTTCTACTCTAATCATTTAGATAGGCCCCTATAGTAGATTCATTAGAGGACCCGCGCTGCCCAGAGACAGCTTCGGGCTGGGTTGTTGTGTGGCACTGGCTCCATAGTCGGAGCTGATAGACCACCTATAGTCTCCATTGTAGTTCCTTGTTTGGTATAACCATTTTTTATATTAAGGATCCTACAAGATAAACCCCAAAAGCAACTACAACGGAGACTATAGGTAGTTTTAGCCACTCAGCCTCGCGTGTATGACTCATGCATTATAACCCTGCAGCTGAACTTCCACAACAAGCTGTTTGCCCAACTTCATGACATTGCACCCGTCCACATCGCCCAATCCCAAGCACCGTCTTAGTTGGCGAGTAATTCCCATAGGAGAATGACCTTCGGATCCCATACTGCGCAAGTCGGCCACAGACCACAATCAGACAATAAGACAGCATATATGGGCCCTAACTATTAAATATATGGGCTTGGCGTATAGTCACAGTGTTCCACAACCATCGTGCGGAGCCCTACGGAATAACATGGGCAGTCATTGACGCCTTTGAGGAAGAAGGGCAGCGATGACCGCTACTTCGGCACCGCCGCAGCGATCAAGGTTGCGCAGGGCGTATCCGGAACAGTGCAGGACTCCTCAATACGGGTTCCTTTAGGGTTCCTTTGAGTTACTAAGGGTTCCTTTCAAGGTTCCTTTAAGTTATTAAGCATTCCTTTCAAGGTTCCTTTAAGTTACTAAGGGTTCCTTTCAAGGTTCCTTTAAGGGCTCCTTTAACGGATAGTCTGGTAGCCCCGTCTTCGGGCAGCACTTGCAGTTATGGGTCTATGGCTTCTGGGACCTAGAGTAGAGCCTTATTCCCTTTTTTATGGTTCAGGTTCCCTTATAAGCCCCTAAAAACCAAAAAGGGCACCCTTTTTGTTCCTAGGTTACTCTTGGGTCTATGGCTTGGGGTCTATATGGTTTACAGTAGTGAACCGCGGATAGCCTGGGTTCAAGGTGCTCAACTCACATAAACAGGAGCTGCCGGAGGTTGGGATAATGTAGGGGCCTTGGTAAGGGTTTAGGGTTTAGGATTTGGGGTTTAGGGGTTCAGGGTTTGGTAATTTAGGGTATAGGGTTAATTGCCAATACTATTTTGGGGGTTCCTTCCTATAATAATGGTAGTACATACACTAAAACCCTCTTACAATTATGCCGGCCCTTGTGTTATGTCATCTTGATCTTCCCCTTTGGCGTCAACGCTGCCAGCGACGTACGGTTTAGCATGTAAGTGGCAGTCAACGTTGATCAATCGCTACAGTAAGCTTGTCAATTTTGATACTAAGGTCTGAGCTTCTACGGCGGCATTGCAGCTAATTAACACATAACCGGAAAGAATTTTCTGTCTTTATTCAGAAGCAGAGATGTACTAGCACGAAGATTCCACAGACCAGCCGGTCATCTAGAGAGACACTCAAACGGGTGGGCCATTTATCCTATTCTCCCAGCCTAAGTTTTTGAAGCTTCTGCCCCCAGGGTTTAGGGTTTAGGGTCACTAGAGCTTGCAGGACAAGGGCAGCATCCACAAGTACATCCCATACCTCACGCCGCTCGGAGAATCTTCTGGTGTAGTTCAGTTTCGGCCGCTCACAGTCACCTGCTACGGCTCCAGGAACTTTTCGATTTCAGTTTTGAAGGGCCTACTGTAGCTTAGTTAGGACTGTGGCGAGACCTTATCGTGCATAGGGCATTGGGCTTGGGATAGAGACTGAGTGTTCATGTCAGAGGCCTAAAGTAAAAGCCAGAAAGTTGGAATATCATTATCGTAACCCCTTTAAGGTAAATTATAGGGCATCCTACCATTAATCCATGTTCCAACTTTCTGAAGTTCCCTGTAAGTATTTGAGCTTTTCGTTTCGGGTGCAGTGCATGCTCACTGCTACAGCTGAGAGCTGTCGCTGAGAGCTTTCTCAATTTCCTTGCCGCGCCACAGTCCTCAAGTCGTTGTAGGAAGTGCATGTTCTTCAAGTAGAATCGTTATGATAAGTATCCCTAATTCCAAGAAGTCTCCGGCTTCTTGCTTCGAACGGCAAGCCGCGGCAAACCACTTCCACGCCCGAAGCCTAGACGCTCGCTCCCAGCTCTGCTCTGACGTACGAAGCACCTGCAAGCTGCGGCCAGGCAGGGCCTCAAGCACGGAATGCAGGATATCGGTGCACAGAGTGTTGACCAACTCCAGTCCATGCTGCAGGACTGAGCTTTCCTTGGGTCGACCCCCTTCCCATGATAAACCTCCTCGGCTTTTGCGGATGGGGTCCTCCGTGGCTAATATAGGGGCCCCAAAAATCAGAGTAGAGTTGGTGGGCCCATTGCTATAAGTATAACAAATAACCACCGGAATCGTATTGGTACTTAGTTAGACCCCTAAAGTATGTTTGAGTTCGCTGTTTTTTCTTGTTCAGTTTTTCCAGCTCTTGGCCTCGGCAGCACATGCCAGCATGGCAAATCCCGTGCCCCTTTCTCCTCCACCCTGGCGCTGCTGCTCTCTCGTAGCTTGGTGTAGTTAAGAATGACAAGCTTAGAAGTTTGATCTAGTTGATGAGGCTTGTTGCATGCAACCTAGGTTTCTAAAGGTATTGACACACTTCAGCAAACATATCCTTGACTTTGACGATACTTCGTCAAGATACCGATGACTGAGAAAACTTCGCTTGCATCACGGGAGTTGCTCCGCTGGTTTGGAGACGAGCCGTTGCTTCCAAATCATTTCCACCCGACTTCCTGGAAGGTGGAGCCCGAATGCAAGAAGAATTTAGGGTTTTGGGGTTTGGGGTTTAGGTTAGGGTCTTAGGGTGTCTTGAATCCGAGTTCAAGAAGAGTCAGCATACTTCCCGAGGCATCAGTCACAGAGCACGCCACCTCACTCTGTTCCTTCTCATCTAAACATCAACCCGAAATGCTAAAGAATCTTGAGTCCGAGAGCCCTTCTGAAAACAAAAACCATTCAAAATCAACACTCAAATTCCTCTCCCCCACACTATGCCCCACAGTTCGGAACAATGGGTGTTGTTGTGAACAAACACCTCTTCCAATTATGAAGGACCGCTGCTAAACACCCCAATTTTAAACCAAAGCCTAGACCCTAAACCCTACACCCTCTACCCCTATGCCTAAACCCCAAGCCCCAAAGTATAGACACCCTGATAGAACCTTCCAAAGGAACCCTCAAAAGAACCCGACACCCAAGACCTTAGTCCCGATAGCCCTATCGCCCTAAACCCTATAACCCCATAATATGGCAACGCCACGTAAGTTCCTTAACAAGAGCCCTTTAAAAGGAACCTTATTCCCAAAACCCTAAACCCTTTTGAAGGAACCCGTAAAGAAGCCCCTGAACTATACAATGTTAACCCTACATCATGTAACCCTAAATCCCTACGTATAGGACCTCTATTCCCAAATGGCTTATAAATTCCGAATGACCCTTATAGAAGGCCTGCGTTTGGAGTGAGCAGCCCTTTTAAGGGTTCAAGCCGTATTCAAGGTATATCCTTAATTTTTATGGAACCCTTGAAGGAACACCAAATCCTAAAACCCTTAGCCCTTCAGGGAACGCTTAAATTAAACGAACCCAACAACCCAAATCCTACAGCCCTATTATAAGCCCTAAACGCCAAGGCATCCCAGAAACAAATCCTATAACCCTGAAGCCTATGGAACCCTAGAAGGAATCCCGAAACCCTAAACCTTTGAAGGTAATCCCGAAGCACGAAAACCTTAAAGCCTACAACCCTGCGGCCCTGTATTCCTATACCCTAAACCCGGTGCAACAACCTGGAGAAGAAGCCCCCCTAAACCCTAAACCCTAAACCCTAAACCCTAAACCCTAAAATTTAGAGGAACCCTTAATCAAAGGAGCCCCAAAGCCTCTCCTATGACCTAAATCCTATAACCCTCCAACCTGACACCCTAAACCCTTTGCAGACAACGCGTAAAGGAATCCCATAAACCTGAATCCTATAACCCCAACAACCCGCCTAAACCCTCAACCCTTTGCAGAAAACCCTTAAAAGAACCCCAAAGCCCTATAACTCCTATGACTATTGAATCCTATACCCTAGAGACCCTTTAGAGGAACCCAAAAAAGAACCCCAAAGCCCTATGTATGACTCCTATGACTATTGAATCCTATAATTACCCTAAACCCTTTAGAGGAACCCCAAAGCCCCAAAAAGAAGCACCCTAAACTCTTCAGAGGAACCCTTAGAGGAACTTCAAAGCCTCAAAATAGCCCAAACGCCTCATATAGTATGGTTTTTGGGCCCAAAAGGCTTAAAATATGAGTCCTTAGAGCATAAGGGTTAAAGGAGCCCCAAAGCTTCAAAAAGGAGGGTCAACTTCGCTTCGAGCTCCGATCCGCCGCTGCACAGCGAGAGGGAGGCGTCCACGGCCCCCTGGCGCCGAAATGGGGAGGGGGGTTTAGGGTATAGGGTTTAGGGTTTAGGGAAGGGGGGGGTATCTTATGGATCTTTTAACAAGTTAGCGTGTCTTGGGGTTTCGGGGAGGGGGCGAGGGGTTTCCTGTGATATCTGATGGGTTTTTGTTAGGGTGTCTTGGCATTTCGGGGAGGGGGGAGGGATTTCTTGCGGTATCTGATGGGGTGTTCTAAGGGTGTCTCGGTGTTTCTTAGGGTTTCTGTGTTTTTTCTTTTGGTTTCTTCGTGGTTCTCTGACTTCTTAGGGTTGGTTTGGATTTCTTGAAATTCCTGAGCATTTCCCATAGGTTAGGTGCTAAGAGTAGTTTAGGGCGAGATGGAGGGGCTTTCTTAGGGTTTCTTATTAAAGTTTTGGGGTTTAGTGTTTTTTGGTGTTTCTAAGGATTGCTTAGGTGTCTAGGGTTCAGAGATTCTTAATAGTTTTTCCCGGTTTCTTAAGGTTTGTTTGAGGGTTCTTTCTGTTTCAAGTTTAGCCGTCTAGGGTTGAGAGGTTAGAGTTTACGGTTTAGGATTTTACGGTTTTGGGGTTTAGAGTTCAAGTCGGAGTTTGAGAGGATTTTAGGTGCCTTTGAGCTAGTAGGGCGAAAACTGAATCTCCCACAATAGCCGAGGAGAGTACTGTTAAAAGGTTCAGGGGGTACAGGGTTTCCGGAGGTGTCAGTTGCGGTCCGAGGGCCGGGAAGTTTCGGGTTGCGTTCTTTGTAGCCAAAATCGGCTCGGCTTCCCCACACTGGGCTACGGGCATTGTGCTCTCTAACTCTTGAGATCATGGAGGGTCTTCGAAATTCACGGTTATCCCTCCTAACTGACAGGACCAGAGCACCCCAAGTCGTTGCCGTGATCTTAGATTATGGTGTATCATAGATTAGCATGTTTTAGCATAGCATAGTATGATATAGTATAATCTTGTATATTATAGTATATGGCTCCTTTGTCTTATGTTGGAAGTTCCAGCCTTCGGGACATTTCGGGTTGGAAATGCGCTCGGCCCTATACTTTAGACCGCATGCCCGAGACCGCCCATTTGCATACTTCAAGGCTTGCACAGCTTCGAGCGCAAGCTGTTCGACAGCTGAGACTGCATCTCTGTGCGCCAATACAGAGAACCTTTGAACACCAATGTTTTGGCGCCATTGTTTGTGGAATTTTGACGGAGTGTGTCAGCTCATTCTCCCTGATCCCTGCATAATTTCAAGCCCAACAGCCCAGACCTAGTGACCAGGCTTTTTAATGAACGCACCTCTTTGGACAACTCACCCCAATTAAACCCTAAACCCTAAACGATTTAAGCCTACAGCTGACATGCCTTCCACTTTTGGAAATTTCCTCTTGGGACCGGCTGCCAAGCTCTTCCAGCGCAGCGGTCGTGAGTGATTTCGTGCGGCACTCTTCGCATCCTGAAGACCTGCTTGACCTGAAGGACCAAATGATCCTTAAAAGTAGGGGCCTTATACCCATATACTAACTATGAATCCCTATATTGTAGATGAACCTTAAACCTTTTTAGGGTTCATGTCGTCCTTAAGGGAGAGCTCCGAAGCGTCAACGCACCCATATATAGGGACCTATAAATAATTATAGATACCATTTTAGGGGTTCCTGAATCATTATACTTATATGGTATAATGGGCCCCGAAAACCCTATTCTAATAAATAAGAGTCAGGTGGTTCAGGATGAGTATTGCCGGGATTCCGAGTTTAAACTAACCTTCCGGGAGTTAGGATGGCAATGAGGCTTGCTAGCAGGTATGTCTGGGAGTTTCCGAAAATTAAGGGTTATCTTATTTTGGGGTCCTTATAATCAGGATGCTACTACTTAGGATACTATATTAGGGTCCCCTAATTTCGGAAACCCCCATATCTGGGATTAACTGTGGCAGAGAGATGAGCATCTGTGTACATTACAGGTTTGCGGTATGAAGCATATAGCGTCATGTGCTGGTAGTTCTAGTCGTCATGGGCACGGCAGTATGAACAACGCCCGATGGTTGAAATACGCCCGGAGCCCGAATCCGCAAGCGAGGATGCACAACTTCCGGGTCTCCTATAGTATACAGAGAAAACAGGACAACTTTAACGCGGCAGAGGTTTGGGTTTGGGACTGATGTTTACCCTAAGGCTCCATAGTGGTTCCTTTTTGGGGTTCATATATAGAATCCTATAAGGTAATCCCAAAAAGGAACTACTATGGAGCCTCTGGGTAGACTTTTTAGTCTGGTATGGCTTCTGACGTCCTGCTGCTCGACCCCTCTGAGGAGGGACTTGTCAAAGCTGCAAATCAAATTAAACTGGGCGAGACCATCAATCAATGCCACCTTGTATTGAGTTTAAGATGTGGGAGTTTCCGAAAATAGGGGACCCTAATCTAGAACCCTAAATAGTAGGATCCTTATTATAAGGACCCCAAAACAAGGTGCCCCTGTTTTCGGAAACCCCCATGTAGGTCTTCAGGGTGTAGGGTGCGGCTCAAGGAAGTCAAGAAGAAGACTTAACGAAGTCGAGTCGGCAAGTGCAGGTGCTCAGGATCAGAAAAGGCCCACGATTTCCGTTTCAAATTACGTGCACAGAGTTTCACTCGCCAGGATGACTGGGGAACCGTTACCTCTGTTGTGATGCCGCCTAGATCGACCCGAGAGAAGTTCTTTGGCACCATCAGCTGGGAGGCTTCAGAGAACAAGAAGCCTAATCCAAGGCCAATAAAAATGAGAAGAGCCGAAACAATGTTATTAGTATCATTCAAAATAACAGATGATTCTACTACAGGTTGGTAGAAGAATAAATCGGCATGTCAACATATGAACATAATATTATGTGGACATGTGCATATATTAACATTGTAATACCACATGTACATATTCATGTATCGATATTAAGATAATCTTCTAATCACATATTCATACATTCATATATTCAGAGGTTCATGTATTCATATATTCATCTATGCGCATATTCATGTAATCAAATATCTACATATCAATATACCGGTATACTAAACTATCAGCAGTTTTTATCGTTCATATTAATCTGTTCAATCACTCATACAAATAGTCATTTGAAATAAACGCATAGGGTCATATTATACGTTTATACCAATACGTTAATGTATCTATATACTTACACCTTCCTGTACTAAGACTATATTCGTACACTAGTAGGCCTCAGGGTCCATAGGGTTTTGGTGTTCGGTGTATTGGTTTAGGTTTTCGGGCTCAGAATTGAGGGTTTAATGTTCAGGTTTAGGTTTAAGGGTTAGCGTGTAGGATTTAGGGTTTAGTTTCTTTTGGCACAAAAGTTCTTTAGGCTATGGCAGCGCAGCACTTTGCGCAGCGTCGCTCTGGAGGAGTGGCTGCGCCTGCCCTAGCTGTCCGGAGCTGGCACGTGACAAATTTGAAATCAAACACTTGAATCCTTAATCGGCGATTTGGTCAGAATCCTCGCCTTCCTAAACCCACAAAGCTTTACCCCTAGACAAAACAATGGAAGCCTAAACCTTTGATGCTGCTTAGGCTTAGAGCAAGTCCGTGCTTTGCGGGCTTCGTGACACCTACGGCGCTCGTTAGACTCGCCCAAATGCGGATAAAGGCAGCTACTGTTCAGAAGTTTCAATGGAGGTCTTTTCGGGTTGAATTCGGGATTTACTATTATAAACGGTTATATACTATAATATACTCTAATATTCTCTAATTTACCATAATATACTATAATATACTATTGAGGGTTTTGCGGTTTGGGAAAGGGCTTTAGGGATTGGGGCTTTCAGGCTTTATTGTAGCCACTTTAGGTTTCCTATTCAAATCAAGACACCCATCCACCATCCAGGTTCCTGAGTAGGACCCTTTCGCCCTTTGTTGTTTAAGGGTCCCCTTACTGTAATAGGGCTACTCGGGAGCCTAGTCATTGTAGCTGTTTGTAGCCATGACGACACTCGACGCTGCCACAGTTTGAGGTTGGAATATCCACATAAGGACAAGGAGTAACCGTCGGATCCCAAAGTAGGAACCCTCAACCTTAGGCGCTAAGGCCCTAAGGCCCCTCTAAGGCCCTAAACTAATCCCTAACCCCCAAACCCTAGGCCCCACGGCGCTAAACCCTCAAGTCGAGCCCCTCGCAGGTGGCCACAGCTTCTACCGACCGAACAGCGAGGCCCCACGCCAATCTCCGCTTTTAGTGTTTAATGCTTCAGGGCTTTAAGGCTTTAGGGATTATAGGGTCTAGGGCTTAAGGCTTCAGGGCTGTACCCATAGGCTCCATAGTAGTTCCTAAGAAACTACTATGGAGCCTATGGGTATAACAAAGTTGTGTCTTGATTGAGGGTCTTGGTCTCCGAAGGTTGATGCATCTAACCCTTTTTGGCTGAGAAAGCCTCTAGCCTAGCTATCCAGCAGCCCGTTACGTACAAATCCGATGAAGGACACATCAAACTGGCGGAGGCTTTGGACAAGGGCCCATCTTACCCCCAAATTTCGGGGGCCCTAATAATTACCTATACTGTATTTTTTTTTGGGGGGGGTCCATATCATACTTCAAGTATAAGGGGCCCAAAACTCTATTCTGATTATTAAGGGCCTATAGTACCCCCATGTACAGTGGCAGTGCTAAGGTAGGACCCTCGCAACCTCGATCTCCGCCAACAACTCATCGCTATGCAAGCACCAGCGAATCATGTAGAAGCCAGAACATTCAATAATGTTCCTTAGGGTTTCTTCTTCTTCTTATAATTAGTTCATTATTATTATTATATATATAATACATATCTTTAATGTTGTTATATGAAATTAAATATCCGAAACCTCAATTCGACGCATAGCCGTCCCCCTCGATGCTTTCGACCCCCAGCCCAATCGATCTAAATCCCAAGTCTAGAAGCCTTAACATAGGGGCCTTAATAATCAGAATAGGGTTTTGGGGCCCTATATATATATACTATAATCATAATCAGGAACCCCCAAAATAGTATTGGTACTTGGTTCGGCCCTAGATTACTTTGCTTGAAGATCCCATGAGGCCTGGAAACCCTGACACTGAATCCCAGAAAGCCCAGCGCAGGATTTGGGATCTGAAGACGGGCGAGTGTGTCAAGTAACTCGGCAGCACCTCGAGCTCAAATCTCCGGCTGTCCGGGACAAGGGTTGGCTCTTTTAAGCGACTTAAGGTCAAGGTTGAGGGTTAGGGTTTAGGGTTTAGGGCTTAGGGCTTAGCGTTTAGGGTTTAGGGCTTAGGGCTTAGGGTTTAGGGCTTAGGGTTTTGGGTTGAATTGAAAGGTTGAGGGCTCTAGGGTCCCGGATCTGATTTACAGGGTCTCCGGTTGGTCCTTCACCTGTCGCGCCCTTCCGCCGCATAGGCCATGGATCTCTAGAAGGGGTTCCAGGTCATTCCAGGTGTGGGTTCGGAGTTGTAGGATTTTAGGGTTGGGGCTTAGGAACGCAAGTCGCAAGATATGGAGGCCCACAGTTTCCGGTGCAGTTCCTCCTATTTAAGCCTCGCGATATGTGCCAATTGTTGTGGGTCATATCCACTTTTTCAAGATAGGTTACTCTAAACTCTACGAAGACCTAAACCCTCAACCCTACTTACCCTAAACCCTAAACCCTAAACCCCTAAACCCTAAAAACCCCAAACCCCTAAACCCTAAACCCTAAACCCTAAACCCTAAACCCCTAAACCCTAAACCCTACCTACCCTAAGCCGTAGAGATGCCAAGACTCTCAGGTTTCTGAATGCGCACACCGGGCCGGTCTTCGTGGTCCAGTTCTCTCCTGGCGGTACCGAGGTCACGGGCTCAGTCGCGGTTAAGCGTTTCGGGTTTAAGATTTGGGGCTTTGGGTTTAAGGAATACGTACAGGGGTTGAAATTTAGGGTTTAGGCTTTAGGAATTTAGGGTTTTGGGCTTATGGTTTTGGGTTCAGGGCTTAGGGATAAAAGAAGCCTGCTGGTACTTAGCGCGTCGTAGTTTGTGGGGGGGACGGTTAGGCGGGGGTTTCGGGTTTGGGGTCTCGATTTCCACGTTTGGGCTAGAGTGACGGGAGCTCGGAGTGAAGGGGTTTCGGCTTTGTGTTGCTTAGTGCTGAATGCTGGA